GTCACGGTAGTTCACATTTGTCTGTGGCTGATCATGATGAGATTAGCGGAATGCCTTCTACTACTGAGGTGAACAAAGGTTCTGTACAACTTGAACGTAAAGTAGAATTAAAGACAGATGCGGTTGCAGAAGGTATGGATACTAGTGAGACCGTCAGTTTAAATGATCTGAGTGTAGCCCAACTATCGACAGATGTTAAAGCTGAACTAGAGCCGATAATGAAAGATAGCAGTGGTGGTAATCCTGTGGTTAGACAACCTCCTAAAGGTTTAACAACAACAGCTTCTGATACACCACTAAGTTCATCAACTGGTGTCAGCCATTCGTCGTTGGTGTTGTCATATGCAGTGAAAGAGTCGCCCATGAACCCACGTGTCTTATGCAGTGATTATGCTAGTGTCGGTCCGTTCGAAGGGACGATAGTCGATGGCCAGTTTAGTGACGATAAATCAACTGTGTACAAGAGGATAATTGTGAGACTGACTTGCACGAATAAAGGTATTTCAGGTTTCAAGCTACTATTTGAATGTTATTATCTTTGGTGCAAATTACTCTGTACCTTCACTTGGTTGGTCAGATATGTCGTATGTTTGTTAGTCATCTACCTTCCACGATACAATGTCATGGGCGTGTTACCATTCAGGGTCGAGGATATAGATGATGGAAGGAGGTCAGCAAATGAACTCAACGACGATTTTCCAACTTAAGGGCGTAAACCTGAGAAGGGTTGTAGGCGTACTGCTGTAAGTCCTACAATTCTTCAAGGGTAGTACGTCGAAGAGCAGTCCATCGTACTTGGTGTATTATTTTGTACATATGTTCATGTTGTATATAATCAATTGGTATCATCCCTCTTCTATCTGTTGATTAATTTTGTTCGTGTCCGGACGTCTTCCACTTGGGCCGTCAACCTGAGAAGGAATGTAGGCGTACTGCTGTAAGTCCTACAGTTCTTCAAGGGTAGCTCGTCAAGGCGGAATCCGCAATATTTGATGTATTGATTGTACATATGTTTGTGTTGAGTAATTCAGTGGGTTCCGATTCATCTGATTGTCGGTTAATTTTATAGTTTTTGCATTGTGTGAATCACCTTGTAATGTTTTTGTAAGTACTTCTGAAGTCGCTTCTAAACTTGTGAACGAATCGAGTAGTGTTAGAGTCAGCGTACGCGATTGGATACGCCAGGGGGAGGATTGGGCTAGAGTGGAATGAAGCAATCGATACTTCGTGAACCAGATCAGTGGTGGTATTGTCGTCAGAGAGCGTAGATCCCATGCGCCGGGGAGAGCATGTCAGTGTGATGTGGTATGTTTGCTGTGTGTTGGGCTTTTTTGTCTTGCTTTTCCAATTTTAGCCTAGTCCCGATTGGCCCAGGTTCCCCCATTGGCAGTTCAGTTCAAGGTTACCGCCGCTGTGGAAAAAAGGGATGGACCATTTTTTGCTGGGGAGTGTCAATGGACGTGAACATTGAACGTTTGTTCATTGGAACTGGCAACCATTGGTGGACAATTCGAAGGCGCGAATGGTCGATCACTTGCAAGTTGAATGAAGACTGGAGTTAAATACGAATAAAAGTACTTTATAACTTCATTTGTACTTAACATTTGTTTGCAGACTTTGTAGTTTTCTTCACTTTAATTGCCAAACAATATAATTTCGTTCAAGGAATACTGGTGTTTTGGATTTAAAGTTGAAGGATATATATAGTATTTATCGGTTCAATCGACTACGTCTTCATTACTATAGGAACTTAGGGCTAAGTTCCTTGACAGAAGCCACGGCTGAATAAAGCTCAATTAGAAAAAGGTGAAAATGACCTCAACTTTTGTGTTTTCGGGTAGTTAGGTCTCGGAAACCTATGTTTTCCAGACCTCTGTTCATTAGTCGAGTGAACATAGGTCTCTCAGTAAGGTACACGAACGCTTGTAGTCTTAGGTATAAGCTTCGTGAACTAGGAGTGTTGCCTGAGGATCCACAGCCTGATGTGATTGCTATCACCGAAACATGGTTGTTAGTCGGTGTAGACTCAACTTCACTCATACCTGGGTAGATGTGCATTAGAGCAGACAAAGTAGTCTAAAAGGTGGGGGGTTGCTCAGTACATTTGGGACAACATCGAAATTAGATCGAAGTTGTCGGAAGTTCATGACAGCGGCACCTGTGAAACTGCAGATTGTGTCATTAATTTGAACAAAGGCTCTGTGGCGATTGGGGTTACCTATAGTAGTCCTGCCAGCCAAGCTGACGATTTCGTTCTAAATCATCTCAGGCGTGAAGTAGTAAGAATAGGTGCCAAATATAGGTGATTTTAATGCCCCACATATTAATTGGAAGGAATTAACAAATACTTCATACAATTGTTTCAACGGGGAACTCATACTGGCAGTACTTGAACGCATACTTGTGCAGCATATAGATGCACCAACACGATACAACCCTGAACATGATCCGTCCACTCCAGACTTGGTGCTGACACACCCGCAGGAGGATGTTGGTGACAAAAGGTACCTGGCGCCGCTAGGCGGTAGCGACCATATAGTTATAACTTTTATGTTTAGGATCCACGATGTCATACATAGGTCGAAAGCTGCTAGCCCCAGACGTTTGGAAAGCGAATATGCCTGCAATCCGAAGTTCAGCAACCCTAGCTAACTGGTCTGTTAACACACACCAGACTGTCGAGGAGGCTTGGATGGGATTTAAGAATACACTAGAGTGCGTCACTGCACCCTTTATACCTTGTTCTACGCCTCAAAAACTATCTCATAAACCATCCTGGATTAGCAATGAAATAAGGAGGTCATTACCAAAACGAAAGAACTTATAGGACCGGTTTGTTTTGTCTGGGAGGGATGAGTTCCAGATGGAATACCAAAAAGTTCGAAACCTTTGTAAGTATAAGATTGAAAAAGTCGTATAGAGTATGAGAGACAGTTAGTACTGAATTGTGTGCATTATCCAAAGAGACTGTACACGTATATCAAGCGCAACACTAAAACTAGCAGTGGTATACTGTCCCTCACCAGCAACACTGGAGAGGCTTCCAAATCAGAAGAAACAAAAGCTAAGAAGCTCTCTGAATACTTTCGTAATGTTTTCTCACCTAATCTCACCACTCAGGGGTGTAGCAAGGTCACTGATGTAGCCCCTAAAATGCCCCCACTTGTGGTAGATAATACAGTGGTTCTCAAACTACTGTCTAAACTGAAGCCAGGTAAATCACCTGGACCCGATGGACTTCACCCCAAACTGTTAATTTCCCTGGCGGATATAATATATATTCCACTTACGGAGATTTTCCAAATGTCTCTGACCCAGGCTAAGCTACCCAGGGACTGGAAGGATGCCATTATAAGCCCTATCTTCAAAGAGAGGAACAGACAATTGGTGTCTAACTACCGGCCGGTAAGTCTAACATGCATTACAGCAAAGGTAATGGAAACTATTATAAGCGATCAGCTATCAGCTCATGTTGAAAAACATGGCTTGCTGGCGGTGGAACAGCATGGATTCTGACCAGGACGATCCTACTTGACAAACCTACTACTGGCTAAGGAAGACTGGGTTGAGGCCAGAGATAAAAACCTTCTGTTGGACGTAGCTTTTATCGATCTTAGTAAGGCATTCGACAAAGTATCCCGCTTAGGTCTGCTTAGTAAATTTAGAGGTTTCGGACTAGACCAATGCCTATGTGAGTGGTTTAGGGATTACCTAATGGATAGAAGGCAGGAGGTTAGAATTAACGGTGTACTATCAGGGTGGAAAGCAGTATCCAGTGGAGTGCCTCAGGGAACTGTATTAGGCCCCTTGCTATTCCTATTATACGCTAGTGAACTACCGGCGATTCTTACATCATCTTCATTATTATTTGCGGACGACATTAAGATCTGGAAAACTGTAAATAATAGCGAGGATAGGTTGGCCCTACAAACTGATCTAGATAAATTAGATGAGTGGTCGAACCTGTGGAGTTTGGAAATGAATTCTAGGAAAAGCGCGGTAATGCACTTAGGTCAGAAGTCTTATACGTCGTACTTTCTAGGGGACACAGAACTACATGATGTTAACGTACAGAAGGACCTAGAAATCATCGTTAGCAGTGATTGGGAAACAACTACAAATTGCAATGCAGCCGCGACTAAGGCTTTCGAATGCTATGGGCACTTCAAAGGGCTTTCAAACGATTAGACGAGTGTGGTGAGAGATGGTTGCTAGCCCAATTGGTTGACAGTAATTGAGGTCAATGTTAGTCATGTGAAAACAAGGTCAAGATGGAAAGGCGGATGCAGTTAACATATAGATGAACTGACACAGCCACAAGAGATGCAAGGTTAACTTTGTGTGAGAAACAACCAATCAACAGACTGTATTTTCTACTAACATTAACTTACAATAATGTACATCAAAATCTATAAATATGTGTTGATTTTCCGTAATAAACGTTCTGTTGCCTGGCCCTTGTCTTCTGTTGTTACACAAGTACTCTACGCAACATATGTCAGGCCTCATCTAGAATACTGCATACAAGCAGTGGGTCCATGCTTCAGAAAGGAGGCACATATCCTGGAAAGAGTAAAGAGTGTAGGAACAATATTAGTTAGTGGTATCTCACACCTTCCTTATGATAAGAGGATGGTGCATTTAAATCTCCTCCCATTATCATACCGAAGGAGGAGAGGTGACTTAATTTTGGCTTACCATATATTCAAGGGTAATTTAGGGATTGACCTTTCAAACCTTTTCTCTCCCTGTGGGATTTATTTACGAGCTTACCACAAGAACGCGCTCAAACTGAGGTCGAATGAAATGAGCTTGGAGTTGAGATTCTCTCACAGAGTGGTCAACTACTGGAACTCCTTACCTGATTTAGTAGTAACAGCTCCATCGGTGAACGCTTTCAAAAAGAAACCGGATCTCTGCAGAGATATATATCGCGAGGATTAACATAGGCAACAAGAGCCTTCTATCCTTATAATCTGAATCTGAAGTCAGAATCTTGGCACTTGCTTAAGAAGTGGCAATTCAAATAGCACGCTACGGTGATTACTATGGGGTTTGATAAAGCAAAGGATGTAAATGAGTTGTTTACTGAACATACCGTTGAGGAGTTGCAGCGAGTCGTACGCCAAAAACGGTATGATTTTATTGTATTTTCATGTTTCTGTAGAACTGAAGTAGAACAAAAAAAAGACGAACTTCGCCAGCTTGTAGGAGAAAGACATAGAGATATTATTGACGCATCTGACCGGATATTGCTGATGAAAAACCTGACTTTCGAGGTAAAATCTTGGTGATTTCAGTGAGCTTTAGGTTTCTTCTTTGATAGACCAACTGAGGTCAACTCTGTCAACGTGGAATCAGAATCCAGAGATCAAACAAGAGTAAGTTATGTATATTTCATTTGTAGTTTTTCGACTGAAACTCAGTCACACGAACTATCAACTGCTGCACAGCTCAAATTGATGCTCGATATTCCTGAATTGGTAGGTTTATAAAGTTAAAGTTAATAAAAGATTTGGAATCATATGGACTTAGGTCAACATGTTTTGTCTGCAAGAATGTGTTTTCTTGGTCGACATTTAAATGCAAGATTGAATTTGAGCCACGAGACCAATTTTTCCCACATTAACGCAAAGGTGCTTGTTAGCCGAGCGTGGGACTCTTTAGTGCATCTGGAGACAGCTGTAGTTTTGGCATGTCGCAGACGATTATGTGCTCCTCCATCATCAAAAGAAGTACCAAAATTGTTTTATGTTCTCACTTCTAGGAAATATGCGATTCCCTCGTCGCTTTGACAATTCTGGAAGATCTGTCTTTACCACAAGTCATTGACGAGTACTTTAAAAGCAGAAAGGTAGGTTCATTTTTACCAGCCAGTTAGCATTGCTTAGATTGCTCTTCGCTTTTGCGTCTTGAGATTTTTATATATTCTTCAGCTTCCTACTTGTATACTGAAACTGTGGCACAAAACTGATCTGTTTACGTTGAGAATGTATGGTGGTGATGCAGAAGTTCTGTCAAATTCGTCATGCGTGATATACCTAGAGTACGTTCTTAGCTTGATGACTGCTATATTTATTCACCTAAGCAGATTAACACCTGGGACTTACAGTGTTTTTCCCTTTACTTCTGCATATTCCCTGATTTTAGTTAATAGGTTTTCGAGATACTGTTACCAATACGAAGCTTTAGTAACTAATTATTTTCACGGGTATACAAACATGACTCACCGAAAAATGAATTTAGATTGTATGTAGTGAAATTTTTAAATTAAAGAGGCGTCAGCTCGGTAAGTTCCATTTAGGTGTACCTGTATTTATTCTCACCTGCCACATTGAAGCCTATGTCAGCTTTTTACAGGTTGCCATTTGTATATGTAATATAATTTGACCACATATTCCGAACCCCACCATCCATTAATGATAACTGCAGGTTAGTTTCGTTGGTGTGAAGGAGACTATGAAGGTTTGTCCTTGTAGAAGCATACTTTCTAACTATCGCTTATGAAAATAACACTTTATAATGGGCAACTAAAAACATGATACCACTTCATTGTTTTGAATGCTGTGTTACAAAGTGGGCTTATCGATTGCAAAGTTTTGAGAATTACTTTCTCAAAATTACGAATCATATAGATTGATCTTGGCCGCACTACATTTTCTATAGCTCTCATAGTTTCTGGTGTCTACTTCATTATGTTTTTTTTAGTGCATTTATTTATGCTACGTGTAACCTACACGGATACACAGTTTTATGATGTATAATTTCAAAGTAGCTACTTGTTTTCTTCGTCGCGAAATATAAAAAATCCGTATGATGGGAATCTAGTAACCTTTGTGGTTCGATAATTTAGTCAGTATGAAAAAATTTCTTCTACACTTTTTCCCATCTTCCACAAAAATACTTGCTTCATCTTAGTATAGTACATTGGATTTATGCAGATGTTTAAGTCTTTGTTGTCTAGTTAATATTCTAATTTTCGTTTTGTGGATTGGTATCACTGACCTCTATATTTATGAGTATATGAAACTGGTAACACCTAATTCATGGTAAACATTCTTATGCGGACTTAAAAACAAAATAGCTTCAATTTCGGCAAAATATTAAGAGACAGCGATTATCTGAAAAATGTGGTGTATTTGCGCAATGCGTTTTTTCAGACAATCCCGATTTTCTAATAATACTATCTAAACTAATAAAAGGAACCAGTTGTTTTAAAATATTAAGAATATGTCTTATGTGATTCGCTTTTAGGTTATGTTGTATTCTATTGAGGCAATTTTTAGTTTAGAGGTCAACACTCAATTTTGCAGCTTCTGTGTGATTTCCTTTTTATATTCTACATCCATCAACTGATTGCAAATTATTTTTGTATTTAGTGTCTAAACATACGTAGCAGTTCTGTAGACTGGGCTCCCACAAGTGCTTCTAAAATTCTCTTTCTGAATTTCTAAAATTTCCATCAGAGTTCATGTTTATATAGTCATTTTTTCTTTTAAATGTATTTTAACTTTCAGGTCGCATTGTATAGTGTTCTGGGTGTAGAGTGTTCACTACCTCAAGAAATCATCAAAATGAAGCCTAATTTTATTCTACCAGTCCGCAAGCAGTTGTCTTTAGTCGTTCGACTTATTTCCTCAACCTTGGAATTTCTCGATTTTCTCTTCACTTCGAATGTCATTAGTGAGGTGCGTGCATGTGGTGGAGCAGTGAATTCGCAAATAACTTCGTTAAACAACTGGAAATTTTACGGTAATTTCATGTTGAATCTTTTGAAATAAGTGCATGGTATATTTTATACGATGAAATCGTTAAAAAAGGTCAATTCTGAAGTATACGACTTAGGCCGATCCCAGTAGCCAGAGCCTTCTTGATTACATGGGACTGTTACTAACTATTAAACCATCACTGGAATCCATAAATCCTTCCTTTTCACATCTAAGTATCAGACAGGTGTCTGCCCACCAATTGTTTTGCGTTTTAATCTGTGTAGTCACTCAGAACTTTGTTGCTTGTAGATCAGTTGAATTTTTAAACATCTGTCTAGTAAACACTGGCATAATCGTTTTTCCTGCTTAGCTAACACAATTGAGTCTAGTTCATACCAAAAAACTGAAATTCTGTAGCATCCCAAAATTAAAATTTAGTAATATGGACTAATTTCTACAAGTTCTTAGCTGCGTGGTTAAGAAAATAGTGTATCCGTATATTGTGGAATGATTTCTTCACTCGGTGTCATCGATTAACATGGTCACGGTCACTGATTACCCTTCAAACGTAATTAACTGTTGTGCTAGTTAAAAGCAATATCACTGATATTTCAGCAGCAGAGGTTTTGATGCAGAAGTCTGTAAGCTCAACTTGTTGTTTGGGCGCTTATGATAATAAATTTTCGCTCATTTCGAAATAAGTGGGACGTCATTTGGACATGGCATCTTTCTCTTCAAATGATAAACTACACATCAACTATTCATAATCTGACTATTGGATATTTTTGTTCGTGCACACTAGCGTAAGAGAGATTGATGTATGCTTTGTCTAAAGGTATGTGGTTAAAATAATAATTCGCGCCTATAGGTGATATTTGAGTAAAAGTTATCATAGTGTTTGGCATTGTTCTGGAATCACTTTGTAGTGCAATATTAAACTACCTCCAGCGAAATCATAAACATATCTCCTTAAGATCACCACTCTTTGTTGATTAAACAATTTATGCCTACCTGATAAATGAGTAATCATTTCATCGAGATTGAAATTCCCTATTTTTCTCTTATTTATCTTTGTAATTGTACCATTTAAAAAAGCCTTTATGTTGTTTTGTAAGCCTACTGCTTTTACTGTTTGTTCTAGACTCGTCTACTTTTTCCAAGGATCGACTTTATACACATCTACCGAGTGATGTGCTCAATTTTAAATTGAAGAGTTTCAAGTTTTCAAGTGATCTATCACATTTCGTACAAGGTGAAGGACAGAGTTCTCTTATAGAGTTAGTACAAAAATGTTGGGATGTCTGGCGAGATGAGTAAGTTCGAATTGGTCCATAAACTTTTCTTTACATTTTATAGCGTGAGAAAAATTGTAGTATGCAGTTATATGTAGTGGAGAAAACTTTTCCTGTTGATCTCACTCATATGTATTTGAGTAGGGGTTATCACTAACAGTACACTTCAGGCACCATGGCTTAAAATTGATACTACTCTTATCGATCTGATCATCTCAAAACTTTAATGTTAGAAAGCGCGGTTGACTGAGTTGGTGTTCTGTTTATACTGAATTAAGTGACTCCCAAGTCAAGTTGACAATGTATCAGTCAGAGCCTAACTGTATACACAATCATAAAACGCAGGTCTGCTTGCTGCTAAATGATAATGATAGCATTTTTCATCCTGAAACGAAACTTGTCTGTGTTTTTGTCGTAGGAGAATTTATCTATGATGGAAAATGTACCTTTTAGTTACATAAAAGCTAAACACTTATAAAATAGTGTATTTCTGTGTTTGCAATCAGTCGCTGGGATTTCCTACAAGAACTCATGTCAGCGATTTGATCAACAAACTTACGGGACACAACTGAAAGGAGATACTGTCATATATTAAAAGGTGAAGTAAGATTAGTCTAGTTCGTCCGACTTTTCTGTTCCTTCTTAACTGTACTATTGAAAACGTTCCAAAAAATATGTCTGAAAGATATATATGGTGGTACGTGCTACTGGAAAAAGACTTCAAATATTCAAACGACAACACTAAGTCTACCTAAATAAGTTGGTGATCGGTGTTATAAATGTTATGTACGCTTTGGATGGTCGACATACAGGACACTTTTACAAGATTAGAGTCACTCTTTGCTGGAACTCATTCTTGCACGTGAACCACTGAAAGTAGGCACAGTATTTACACGGGTGCTGGTGGATATATGATGAATGAAATCCATTGTCGTATATCGAAAGCCAAATTGAGTAAGTTGTTTTGGCCGTCGAAGAATAAGATTACTATGCTTTGGTACTTGCACTTCTGTTTTACGCCTTTAAAGATTTGCAGTGTAAGTGTCCAATTACTGTCTCCATAGGCGTCCTTGCGTTACGTGGCAACAGCATCTAAGCAATTCTAACGTCTGTCTAGATCAGACAACGTAAATATTGCCTCTCAGTAGGTAACCTCATCTTCAGGGACCATCTATGATGTTTCAGGTATGCGATAATTATGCCTTGCACAGTTAAGAAAGAGCTGAAAGGTAGCTAGTTCGTGAAGTTTTTTTACCTATTTGGAACACAAAAACTGACTCAATACGGCAGCAAGATGTGCACAGTAATAATAAAACAACACATAAAACAGGTAGAGAATAAATTAAAGACCTCACCTGGGAACAAAGCAGTTATATTTGACAAGACCAAACAGCACTTGTCGAATTATTGTCAGAAAGGGAGAAACAAAAAAATTACAGCATATTCTCCATTGATTGCGATTCTTAGCCATATCCGATAACGTTTCGAGCCACCGATTTTGGCTATCTCTCGGACCTCAATCAGGGAGTTGTGACTCACTAACCGATGCTAACCTATCACAAATATCCTTTATCCCACGACGCCACTTCATGGGCTGACCATCTCTCCACTTTTTCCACCCCGTCCCAGGGCTAGTCAACAGAGACCGGTACGGGAGCCTCTGGGATGCCATTCGTAGCACATGTTCAAGTCACCGAAGCCAGTGTTTCCAGATGACGACACTGAACGAATGCTGATCTCCACTGTGTCCAAACACATGCCGACGGACCTCAAAATTACAAACACGATGATACCATCAAACGCAAGAAGTCATACGGAGACAGAGATGATCGAATACACAGAGTTGCCGCACATCCTCAGCTCAGAGACGCCAGGTTCACAGACGCAGAGCAAGACAGGCCGCACCGAAGCATTGATACCGAAACTCTGACAGCCAGGCTAACGTCGCGACGGCGCCTCAGGGGACTCAAGCTGACGTATGCCACCCTAGTCTTCATTATACGGTTGGAAATCTCATCCATCACACCGCCCCTAGCATTCACACAACTACCCAGATACACAAACTGATTGACAACTTCGAGCGGTTCACCCGCCAGAGTGAGTGCAGATAAACGCTCCTACCAATCTTGTAACAGCGTCTTGGTACTTAGACGGTGCAAAGCACATAGCATACTTACAGACACTGATCACCAACTGACTAAGTGCGATTTGGGCAGCCTACATGCTATCGCACAGTAAGACGATATCGTCTGCATACTTAAGGTCGAAAAGTTCCTCTACAGGAGGGGGATCTACACCACCTTCACGCACATCCTTCACAGCTGACTCCAGAATGTCATCGATGGCAAAGTTAAGGAGAAATGGAGAGATCGGGCAACCCTGTCTAACCCCACTGTTGGTTGGGAACAGTGATGATAGTTGGTTGTATGCCCTCATTCTACCTGAGGTGTTTCTGTATAGAGTTTTCAGGATGTTGACAAACTTCTCAGGTACACCCCTCTCTGAAAGACATTTCCAGAGAACAGTTCTATCCGACGAGTCGAAGGCAGTCCTAATATCAAGAAACGCGTCGATTGTTGGACTGCTATACGTGTGACGGTGTTCCAACAACTGACGAAGGGTAAACACATGATCAATGCACCCACGGCCTGAACAAAACCCAGCCTGCTCTTCGCGAATTAGCTCCTCACATGTGTTTTGTACAGTTCGCGAAGCAAGACAGCAGCCAGTATTTTAGGCGCAATTTGTTTGTTGCATGTGTTGCATTGACCTTTTTAAAGATGGGGACGTTGATCGCTTCAGCCCACACTGATGACACATCCTCAATTTCCCATACTTCCCTAAATAAACAGGTCAAAGCCATGACGAGAATCTCGCCACGATCTTTAAAGAGAGCTGGGGGTAAATTGCCTGGGGCCGGGTGCCTTATGGCGCCTCAACACTTGGAGTTCCTTTCGGATTAAAGTACATTAGAGCATCTTGAAGCCATGGTTGTATCCATAAGACCATTCGACTCAGAGTCTTGTTTTTCTACTATCGAAAGTTATACGAAGGGACGAAAAGTTCATCCCTCCACTATATGGTTTAACTCTCTTTCTTCCTATACATTGTTATATAATTCGGATGGTAAATTTCTCGGAAATGATGCTGTACTACGTTTGTGTTTGTTATAAATAAAAAGAGACCATATATAAAAGCCAGAACAGCACTCACCAATATCAGTCTCTTTCAAAACTTTTTGAAAGGTTTTATGAGTGTAACACGTCCTCTTTAGAATCTGATATGTGTATGAACATGATTATTTCAATTATTTGTCAGCAATTCTTCGTCTTTATGCGTACTGATACACCTGCTTCTCTCAACTGTATATGAATGTCTTACCAGGATACTACGCTTTATATTTCATGAAGATTGTCACTTAAAATAAGTGAATTTCAATATTTTTAAAAACTTATATCGTTAGTCCAACACTACCTTATTAATCACATATATCAATGTTGTTTTCCCGCATACTTCCCCTCCTTTTGTTCTCAGTCAAAGTTCATATTAGTGTACTGGGGATGACTTAAGCATTTTAGAACGTTTTACCTTGATTCTGTTTACCTGTCTCGGACGATAATGATCAAGTCCTAACCCAGTAGACATAAGCTAGATATGAAGAGCTGAAGCTATTAATCCATGCATCTGCTAGATTTTTAAATATTTAGATCAATTTTCAAATACATGTCATGAATAAAATGATATTGTTGACAATGAAATATGAAGTTATTTCATAATATTGTCTTTATTTATCATCCCCTTCAATTCGATTTCTATATGTTCATTATGTTCCATCTATAGCGCAATTCAGATATGTTACAAAGTGCTTTCAGAGTCACTATCTCATGTTTCTTGCTTTGAAACATTGGTTGATCTGCGTACTGCCATACTGGTACTTGTACATCGGTTACAAATTTGCACTTCGGTAGTTACCAAAACAGGTGATCACACTTCAATTGGGGGTTACTCCAAGCCATTCGTATTTGATATTTGGACGGAGTTGCTTCGTGACTTGTTTTTGCGGAGGTTAGAGGTAATTTCTTTATTTTATACCGATTGTAAAGTATCTTAATAAAATATCCTAGTCTATGGATAAATATAAAGATGGAACACGGGAACCATATCAAGGTGGCATCATATGAGCAATTAATTGTGCTCAAAACGTCATCAGTAAATATTACTGAATAACACTGTGAGACTTTATCAAAATAAATTCTATCCATAATGAAATTGTTGATAAATATCCTTCTATTTGTTATTCGGAGAGCAAGAAGTATCGTTAGATATGCAGAATAAAGTGCTTTAGAACAACGTTTTCAAACAGTGATAGTTCCAACACCGAAATGGATTTCAGCTTACAGAAACTGTATAGCATATTTAGTGAAAGTGAAAGGTATAAAACGGTCATCTCTTTAAATGTAGGTATCAGTATTCAATTTCGCGTGTTGAATGGTGTAATATAGCAATAATGATGTTATTCGTCTAGTGTTAGACAAGGTTTGAAACTCAATCGATGAGCTTGTGAAGCTACATTAGTTGAGACGTTTAGGACATGTGTAACACATACTGGGCCACAGCCTTTGACGGCGAGCAACGTTAGCTAACATACCATTAAGTTAGAAAAGAGTTAAGAGTGACCAGACTAAAATCTGACACTGACGCATAATTTTATAATCGTCAGTTTAAGCCAAGTGAGGATATGTGTACTGCTCTTGTATACCCCACACTGGTTTGAGATGGGTAGTGATGCCGCTAAAGTTTGGTTTCGGTGGCACAAGTGGATTAATTCTTCTCAATTCCTGGGATTCATTAAAATCATTATTCTCCATGTAATTATTCTTCCCGTAAACATTAACATTTATTATAGCTTCATAACGTTTTTTCTTCTCTACTTTAATATGTACTTATATGAGGCGTGACGTCCTAAACTGTGAAGTTCTTTGTTGAAGATCCAGTTAGGTTGAGCTTAAAAACTGTGCTTTTTAGTTTGCTTTCAGATGTCTTCTGACCAGCACTGCAGATAAAGAAGACAAAGTAACTCTATCTTGCGCGTCATGAAATAACCATTTGGCACAAAAATGGCTATATTAACTTTTATAGCATGTTCACTTGTAATTGCTGACACTGAAAGCTATCCATAACGTATCTGTCATCTTCATTTGATTCTAAGAGCTAAAAGTTTTATAAATGTGCTTACTTTCATTTTATTGATTTGAGTGGAGAAATTAAAGGCTGCTGTCATTTCTGAATAATCTTTAAAAAAAATACTTTTCAGGTATTGTTTACCGAGAATTTAGAAAACAGTTTCAATGAATGGATCTCACAGTTGGATGATTTACTGACACGGAATTCAAAGTTTCAAAAAGAGGACGAAAATGAAATATCTAAGGCGCTGCGGAATACCAAAGTAGGTTGATTAATGTTATTGTATTTTCAAAGCATCACAGTCACCTAGTTTTACTGCGTTGCGTATATACTTCAACAGTGCATACCAATGTGCACGAAACGTAGGTCCATGGCTTTCTGTCATTCTGTTCCTTAAAGTGTGACTTAGTGACCTCATTGTATACCTGATTGGTGCATCTGTTATACCATCTGGCAATTAATTCGCATTATGAGTGACTCTCCGTTATCAATTTCAATTTGGTCTACTCTACTTGCTTTTTTGGAGCGTATACTAATATGTAGTGAACGGTCTTTTAAAAGTTTTCAGCTTCAGCACTTACCTTGACAAATAAAGTGCCATTATCAGTCAATGTGAATGTATTGTTATATTCTCTAACCATTCTTATATACTGCTATATTGCTTTTTCATAATTCGTTAAATTGTATCAGCCTATGTTGGAAGTTATTTTTCAGCCAGTTATCATTCCAGAAATAGTGAAAGTAAAAGTATTCTCCTCTAAAACAATTATGCCTGGAAACTTTATCGGCCAAATTTCCTGTAGGTAATCTCTGCTGAACCCATCTAACTATTGAATGACAAATACAAGGTAGATACTAGCAATAATCCCATTTTTCACAAATAAGTTCCATAAGTCATTATTTTTATTTTTTTATTTATTTGGTAAAGCAAACCTGGTTCATTATGGGTACTAGGAAATGCATCGTACAAAATCTCATAGTCTGCCTGAGGGTTGGGATACTGCCCGGACTCTCAGGCCGAAAAATTGGTTGTCTTAAGGGATCACTCCACAGAATATTAACTTGCAGTTTGGTCCACAAGGTAACGGAGCTGCGTAACGGTAACGGTAACCAAAACAGATTCATATAACATTCGACACTTTCGGATTCTGGAACCCATTTATACCATAGGTATATATATATATATATATAGCTTATTTTTCAATTACTGACGGCATGTTTTTATTGTTTTAGTCGTTTCTAAAGAATCCCGTAGATGAAGGTCAGATTGATTGGGCCAGCTTTGTTTGGTCAGATGGTATGAGAGACATCAATGTGAAAAACTCCATTTCTACTGAAGTGCTCAGTCACAGAGAAACATTGACAGCATCAACGAGTGCTTGCAATAATGAAATTCTGTCCCATTTAGTAAAGTCGAATAATGTAGGCCTAGTTGTGTTTTGCTGTCTTGCACACCTGTCGATTCCTAACTCCTTTCCTTTAATGGGAAATGAAAAAGAGCAAGATTTGACGTCGTCATCTCATATGTTGGTGTTTTTGCAACGATTGATCAGTGAAAATATTTCCTCTACATTTGAAAATGTGCCAAACTGTGTGCAACCATCTAATTTTGGCAACACCGACTTACAAAGGAAACTCCAAGTGTTGTTACCCGAGCTACAATCGTAAGTCATAATGTGTGTATGGATTCCTACTAGTTTGTTTACAAATACAATCTACTCTTTACTGTTCAGGTTTCTAAAGTCTGTTGTATTAAACTATGTATGTATCATGTTTAAGTAGGGGGACTTCATTTCGCTTTGAATAGTTAGTTATTGTTAGATATAATGGGTCATAAGAGATCTAGTGCTGGTAACATTAAAATATTTCGATGCTGTAATATCTAAACAATGTACTACACTTTTTATCCATCCGTTTCTTGTACATACTGGTCTATGGATTAGAGGAAGACGATATATTTTTCTACAAAAAATGCAGTCTGAAGTGAATTGAACTATTCTAGGCTTTTGTACAGAACAAGGATAATCTTTTCATCTCGAAAAAGATAGCAAAGAGTATAAATTTTGTGTCACAATGTACCTATCACTGACAGATGGTATAACTTGTAGCGGAATCCAGGATATTTTTTACTGCTCATCTACTGTCTGTTTAAGTCACTGGGCTACCGAAATCGCTTTCCACTAAAAGGCTTAATTTCGGCTGGATTCATCATTGTTTTAATTGTCCAGTTATATCAAACGACCCATACATGAACTTCCGCATTGACTTAACTTGTCTGCAAGTAAACGCTGTGCAGTTCTCCAACGAAATGAAGATATACTTCAAAAGAATGGTAACTGAACAAAGAATATTATTTTCGACAGCTTTATCATCAGGTTCTATAGTTATATATACATTAAATTGAATTATTAATTGTTACTAACAACATTAATGTTTAAATAACATCAAATCAGTAATATCAGTAGATTACAGTTCAATAGCATCAACATAGCAATAAACTGAGTCAGAAAAATTAGGAGAAATAATAATACAAATTCATGAATTTATAGTCTCTACTGAAGGCCAGGTCAATAGTAGTGGCTGGACTTGCTTCTTTTACACACACGAATAGCGATAGCCTCTGCTGTTTGGAGCATGCGGTACGTCTATGCTTTTGGCAATTTGTTCGGTACCCGGTAGATGACAGAGAAAGATTCTTCAATGCTGTCTTTGTGGCCAGTTTGGACCAGGTGGTCTTATATCGAACTATTGATGGTTTTTACTGCACCTTTACTTAGCCACACTGGTAGGTGTTCTCCAGCAGGAAAAATCAAGTTCCTAGAGCAACGGCCGATATAACTCGCTCCACAAGTGATGTTGAATTGGTAGATACTACTGCATTCAGTGTAAAAGGATTCACATTCATGTCTTAACGAGGTGGGAGCATTTATTTCCTGATACGAATTTAAAACAAGCAATAAAGGTTAGTGAAGCAGAATTTAATGAATTCATCAAATTTCGGTGGAACTCTTCAGCTAAATACTCTACATAAAAAGATATATATATATATACCATTAGAATTACAATAGGAGAAATGAGACTGATAAGTAAATAAGCTATATTGAATCAATCAAGAGATTAAAATAAAAATAAAACGCATTATTATTTAATTGCATCATTGAAATAAACAATTAGATGTCAGAGAAAGAACTTAAATATATGGAGGACTGCAGGCTGAATAATACTGGTGATAGTAAAGGTAATAATAATAATGTTAAAAGTTAACATAATGATGCTGGTAAAGGATAGTTTTGAATGAATGAGGAGTAATAATTATCAGGTAAGATAAAATATAGAATAATAATAACAGATAACAAGTATGACATATCACCATAAAAAATTCACACCCATCATTTTTCTGGATTGATTCAATGTAGGAATTGTTAAAAAGACGGTTGCAGCGAAGAAAATTTTCTTTTCGACAAAGTCATCAACTAAGCTGTACATTCGTGTATTTATGATAAATGGTTGGGAAAGTTCCAGAATAATTACAATTAGGAATTAAAATACCATATTAAACAGGAGGATGGATAAAACTCAAACAAAGTAGCGTCATAATTACTGGGAAGATAGACATATTGTGCATTTGGGGGTTAGAAATGTAGAAATAACAGAAATAGACAGGATGTTTGGATAAAAAATCTAGTGAGATCATAACTAATGTGACGAATAATTGTTTATACAATCAGGGATTAAATATTTAGAAATAATAAAATAACAAAATAGACAGGAAGTTCGGATATGAAAATATACTAGTGTAAACAGGGATTAAGAAAGACTTAAAAGTGACATGAATAAACAGGAAGTTTGGATGAGAAATGCAATAGGATGGTAATTACTAAAAGAATTACCTGTTAATGATGGCCATGGCAGGGACAAGGGTTGGACGTATTTCTTTTGGATGCGTAGCGTGGTTTTGAGCTTTGGGATAGCTAGTGCCTCGGCTATGCCCAGATGTCTTAATTTCACTCCCTTCGATAGGTTTGATCGAATCTTGTATTTTATTTTGAAGGATTTTTCGAATGGCCAGATGTTCTGTCACCGAACTATATACACGTTTTCGATCTCCTTTTACTAGCCAGGCTGGGTAGTGTTCACGAGCGCCGAGGTACTCAGCTCCGCACAAGCAAGTAAACTGGTATACGCACTTTGAAGTGGCCCATTGCGACGGCTTGTTTTTCGCGTTCTGGCTCAACAGTTTCTTGCAGGAAAACGTCAGTCGTAGGCTCGCGGCGAAGTATGTTTTTCTCAAAGATTTTGAGAGGCGTTATAAACGCCGCACCAAATGTTAAATACACGAATGTACAGCCTAGTTGATGACTTCGTCGAAAAGGAAATTTTCTTCGCTGCAACCGTCTTTTTAATAATTCCTATGATCCAATGTGTATATTCCGTAATTCAATATAGTTTATTTACTTATCAGTCTTAAATCTCCCAATGTAATTCTAATGCTATACATATGTATATATGTGCGTCGGTGGCACAGCGGTTATAACTGTCGCCGACCATGCACATGGTCCGGGGTTCAATCCCCTACCGACGCACACCTGATATCAATGGTTGGCCTGAAAAATTTGGACTACCGATATCATATGCTGAAAATTCCATACTTGTACCAAAAATACGGGGTGGAATGAAGATATAATTAGAAATAAAATAAAAAATCTATCCATATATGTAGGGTATCCAGTTGAAGAGTACTACCGACATTTGATGAATTCATTGAATCGTGCCTTACTAAGCTTTGTGATCTGTCTTAGTGAGGTACCTGAAGTGTCGAGTTACAGTTATCCTCGCTTAATTAAATGATACCTCACTTACCAATGCATGTGCTTGTGAATATCAAATGTCCAATTTTGCCGACCGATTTCATTGTTTCTATCAAGCCTAAAATTTCTCTGGTTCAAGTTTCTTGTAGAAGAGACATCCAGGCCTATCCCATCTCTGCTGTCGGTGTATATTGGTCAACTGCTATAATTTACATGCTTTCGGTTTGTTTTTGTCTACTTTTTATAGAATATGCGAGAAATTGAATATAGACCTTTCAAATTGTATTATTAAATTAACTTCAAATGTTGGTCGAGATTCCTTCGACATTTGGTCACTTGTATTGTCAGCATTGGAGAAAGCGTTGAGTGGGTAAGAGTTCTATTCGTTTTACAGTCTTCTTGAATAATTTCATAGTCTAACTGACTGATTTATTTCAATAATATTAAAGTTCTTTCAGCCCTACACTTACATCTATTGAATACTGGTAGTCGATCATACTTTTAAGTATCTTCTTAATATTAAGTAACTTGTAGAAAATCAGTATGACTCCCTAAAAACACTTATCATCAAAACTTTCATGATTGCCACTTTTCCTAAAACATAGTGGGCTGATAGCTACAGATCAAACAGTTGCTTTTCGTATTCTGCTGTTCGTAAAGTAAAATAAGACAGACTACTATACAGTCCACACACTTTTTCATGTCGACCTGGAAATCATATTTGCCCTAAATGATGATGGTGAAATTTGGTCAATAACTTAAACAGACGAAATAATCAACGCGGTACGGAACGGCTGCGTTGTATCTTACATTTCATAGGGGCTGAATTAAATTCCAAGCATGCTGAGATGTCTGCATTTAGTCAGCGTTTTTACCTTGAGAAAATATACCGTCCGCATGCTCTAAATCAATGAGGATTAATCTCTAGGGGAACGCTTATTCCAGTGACTTCGAAGTAAAAGACATCCGAATCCGTCAGCAAGTGTAAAATGAAGTTAAACATTCAGCATCTTTAATAGATACTACTAGCTGTCGTTTCTTCAAATACGCCTGTTCGAGTTGCGATAAATATTTTTGTTACATTTAATGATAGCATTCGTCTCTCTGTACCAATTCCAATAGTTTAAAAAGCATGAACACCAAAGTCTTGCTATCACTGAAACTCCACCCACTGAATCTTGATGCGCCCACGAAGAGAGACCGTATTATCTTTCTCTCCAAGCTACAGTGTAACTAGTTCTGATGTAGGTGACTTATATTTAACCATAGAATCTCAAGAATCACAAATACGAAAAGTAATGATTGGTGTGAAGTACGTGGACAATATATGGTCATTTTGATTGGATTGTTGGTAAATACCATCTTTTCAACAAGGATCAGAGTATGTCTGAGATGTTTTTCATCCCTGTCAAATATAAGGTGACGCTACAGTATGGGTGTGTACTAATTCAACTTAAGAATCGAAAGTGAAGCAGTTAAATTTATCCTTAAATTGATTAAATTTAGTATCATTTCGACCAGCTGCAAAAGGAATTGAACTTTTCTGTACATTTTGCAAAGTACTGATTTTAATAATAACTGGTTTCACTCTTTCATCTCTATTCTTAACTTTTCATACAATTTCTATCCAGGGTGGCTAACTGGATAACAAAAAAAGCTTATGGAAAGGAAACAATCAACAATGAATGTACGGATATATCTCTGCCTCTGAAAATTAGTCCATCCTGTTGCCTACTTCTTTCACGTGCCTGGTATGCTTTAGTAGATTGTTGTCCGTCTATCATTGCAGCATCGATCGCTGCCACAGGACAGATTGAATCAGGTTGTGCTGTGAAACCTGGCCTGAATAACTCCACCAATTCAACAAACTCTGCAGAATATAGTTCAACGACGTAAGTCAACAAATGTGGTATTTATTATCGTATTGGTTTAACACTCGAATTTCATTTCATTCTCAATCAAAAACGAACTTGTTTTTGGTATTTGTTAACTCAGAGTGATCTTATTTTCATCCTAACACCTATAATTTCTTCATGTGCCATGATTATCATTATTATTGCCTTGGGTTCCGAGTAGAATATAGGGCTTCAGCAGAAAATCTTCATCTCACACCGTCCTCTGCAGTTCTGTTTAGGTGGCTCCATGATTGCCCACAAGCTCTCATCTCCTCAAACGACCTCTTCTATGTCACCCCAAAAGTTCAGAACGTCGTTCCTCATTCGTGTTCAACTCAAGGGCCTGGCGCGCGATGTCAGTCGGTGGTCTTCTCAGCGTGTGTCCGATCCACCTCTGTTTCCTTCGACATATTTGTTGGGTGATAGGTTTCTGATTCATTCCTTCTCAGGGTTCCCTGTTGCTAATTCTTTCTGACCGACCACCTTATCTTCATTATCTAGCCAGCAAAGGCAGCTGTTGATAACAGTCTGCCGCAGGCTGTTGGAAATGCTTTTGGTATACCGTCTCTGAAGCATACAGAAGAACTGACTTAATATTGGTGTTAAAATCCCGAATCTTGTTCTGTACTCTGGTTGCAGCAGATTTCCAGATTGACTCAAGCGTAGTGAATGTCTGTCTTGCTTTCACATTCTTGTCTTTGACATTCTCATCCTTGATATCACCTCCACTTGAAATTATGCTACCCAAATAAGTTTTTTTTTTTTTTTTTGATTTACAGCTTGATTTCCACACCGTATTTTCAGTACAAGTGTGGAACTTTCAGCATGGATATCGGTTGCCCAAATTCAGGCATACCATAGATATCGGGTGTGCGCCGGCAGGGGTTCGAACCCCGGACCATGTGCATGGTCGGCGAGAGTCCTAACCACTGTGCCACCGACGCACGATTGATCTCGATACATTTTATTGTTGATGGTGATTGGTGCTTGTTATGGTTGGTTCGTTACCTTCACCACCTCTGTCTTCTGTATCTTCCCTTGAGTTCCTGTATGGGTTATTTCTTCAGCTTAGTCGTTGGTTTTCATCTTGAAGTCTTCGAGGTTAAGTGATATTAGGCATAAGTCGTCCGCGAAGTCCAGATCTCCTAAAGTCTTCTTGTCGACCTAACGTATTCTCACCTTCTCGCTTCCCATGGTAGTGGAAAAGGTAGAATGATCATATGGCGAGACAGTTTCTACTATGGTATATTTCTGGTAATCTGCATTTCTTTCTTTAATTAAATATCGAGTTCCGGAACTGGAATCGCATATGCTTCAGTAGATGCAATCATTTTTTGCCGCTTCATGATTATGAACCGTTTGATGTTATCAGTATTGTATTCATAATCCACTGAGCGTTACCCCTTCATGCTACTCTTAGCTCACCTTTCTTCCACATTCTTTAATAAAATGTCTTTTCATATAACTAGCGTGTTCGCAATTGTAGTTTCCAGTGTCAAGCATTAATGTACTATTTTCTTCTGAGTTTTGTGTTACTCTCATAGTATTTCCAGTTAAAGGAAGGTTTTGCAACATACTAGGTTTGCTGAACAGTTTTTGCGCCATCATTTCAAGCACATAGTATCCTCTGAATATCATTTTTATAAAAATAGCCTTTTATCAAGTATAAAGACACCTTGTTTAGCCTTTCTTACATTTTACTTTGGTTTCACGTTGTGAGTTGCCAGAGTTGTCATTTTTATTATTCACTAAGGGTGGTGCATTCTTCAATAGTAATGATTATTTTTACATAAAAGTTTATTACACATACTTTTTCTGTGGGTTTCTCAACCTTCAGAGAAGGTTTGGTGTGGGCAAATATTTCATTGTTACGTCGTGGATGGGATTCTCTAAGTCAGTCATTGTTTCAATTGGTCAACCGAATTACACTTGATTCTTTGGTGAATGCTACAGTGGAAGACAAAATTTTCAAAGAATTCTGTGATAGTTTATATTCAATGTTTTCGGTCACCTGTAAAAAAACTGATGATGAATATATAAATGATAATTCTGAGTCGAATGTCTCTTTCGATGAAGCCACAGTGAAAAATCTTTTACTGAAGTATGCCAATGTTGATGTCATGTCAAGGGATATAGTGGTGAGTAAAATCTCTTTTCTTTATGCATATATAGTGAAAGAAATGATCTAAATTTTTGACATTAGTTCAGAGATATTGATGACATGTCAAAATGTAGGCTGCAAAATTTGTAAATTTAAACAATCGGTATTATTATCATTATTATTACTGATTGTCCAAGGTTTTCGTTAGAATGATATACTCCAGTGGTCAGTAATAGAGAATTATCTGGAGCCAATGTGCAGCATTAAGGTCACAGAAATTGATACTGATGTTTTCGTATCAATTGTCCATAAAAATATCCAACTTCAGCTCAGGATATAGAACTATATAACCGGATATTAATACATACTTATTGATCTCTGTTAAAAAGAAAAATCTGTTAAGACTAAGTGTATAGATGTGATCAGTTAGCTGAAAACTGAGTGCTTAAGTGAATGCGCCGAATCTCCACATGATTATTGTTGAGAGACAATCAATAAACTTGCATAAAGATATTTCTTGTTACTGAAGTTTCTACTTTGTTTTAAAAAATATATATGAAATGTCGAACTGTCGGCTCTTCTTGAAACTATTAAGTGTTGCATAGATCTTGCATTGGTAATCATTTCAGCAGTGTTTCTTGTTTATCAAGTATGTTCTTTAACTTACCGCTGATATTATTCAATAATAGGGGAATCAGCAGCGTATTATTTATGGTTGGTAGTACTTAAATAAGGAATTACTGACTGATAATGGAAATAATCATGTTCATACACATATCAGATTCTAAAGAGGACGTGTTACACTCATAAAACCTTTCAAAAAGTTTTGAAAGAGACTGATATTGGTGAGTGCTGTTCTGGCTTTTATATATGGTCTCTTTTTATTTATAACAAACACAAACGTAGTACAGCATCATTTCCGAGAAATTTACCATCCGAATTATATAACAATGTATAGGAAGAAAGAGAGTTAAACCATATAGTGGAGGGATGAACTTTTCGTCCCTTCGTATAACTTTCGATAGTAGAAAAACAAGACTCTGAGTCGAATGGTCTTATGGATACAACCATGGCTTCAAGATGCTCTAATGTACTTTAATCCGAAAGGAACTCCAAGTGTTGAGGCGCCATAAGGCACCCGGCCCCAGGCAATTTACCCCCAGCTCTCTTTAAAGATCGTGGCGAGATTCTCGTCATGGCTTTGACCTGTTTATTTAGGGAAGTATGGGAAATTGAGGATGTGTCATCAGTGTGGGCTGAAGCGATCAACGTCCCCATCTTTAAAAAGGTCAATGCAACACATGCAACAAACAAATTGCGCCTAAAATACTGGCTGCTGTCTTGCTTCGCGAACTGTACAAAACACATGTGAGGAGCTAATTCGCGAAGAGCAGGCTGGGTTTTGTTCAGGCCGTGGGTGCATTGATCATGTGTTTACCCTTCGTCAGTTGTTGGAACACCGTCACACGTATAGCAGTCCAACAATCGACGCGTTTCTTGATATTAGGACTGCCTTCGACTCGTCGGATAGAACTGTTCTCTGGAAATGTCTTTCAGAGAGGGGTGTACCTGAGAAGTTTGTCAACATCCTGAAAACTCTATACAGAAACACCTCAGGTAGAATGAGGGCATACAACCAACTATCATCACTGTTCCCAACCAACAGTGGGGTTAGACAGGGTTGCCCGATCTCTCCATTTCTCCTTAACTTTGCCATCGATGACATTCTGGAGTCAGCTGTGAAGGATGTGCGTGAAGGTGGTGTAGATCCCCCTCCTGTAGAGGAACTTTTCGACCTTAAGTATGCAGACGATATCGTCTTACTGTGCGATAGCATGTAGGCTGCCCAAATCGCACTTAGTCAGTTGGTGATCAGTGTCTGTAAGTATGCTATGTGCTTTGCACCGTCTAAGTACCAAGACGCTGTTACAAGATTGGTAGGAGCGTTTATCTGCACTCACTCTGGCGGGTGAACCGCTCGAAGTTGTCAATCAGTTTGTGTATCTGGGTAGTTGTGTGAATGCTAGGGGCGGTGTGATGGATGAGATTTCCAACCGTATAATGAAGACTAGGGTGGCATACGTCAGCTTGAGTCCCCTGAGGCGCCGTCGCGACGTTAGCCTGGCTGTCAGAGTTTCGGTATCAATGCTTCGGTGCGGCCTGTCTTGCTCTGCGTCTGTGAACCTGGCGTCTCTGAGCTGAGGATGTGCGGCAACTCTGTGTATTCGATCATCTCTGTCTCCGTATGACTTCTTGCGTTTGATGGTATCATCGTGTTTGTAATTTTGAGGTCCGTCGGCATGTGTTTGGACACAGTGGAGATCAGCATTCGTTCAGTGTCGTCATCTGGAAACACTGGCTTCGGTGACTTGAACATGTGCTACGAATGGCATCCCAGAGGCTCCCGTACCGGTCTCTGTTGACTAGCCCTGGGACGGGATGGAAAAAGTGGAGAGATGGTCAGCCCATGAAGTGGCGTCGTGGGATAAAGGATATTTGTGATAGGTTAGCATCGGTTAGTGAGTCACAACTCCCTGATTGAGGTCCGAGAGATAGCCAAAATCGGTGGCTCGAAACGTTATCGGATATGGCTAAGAATCGCAATCAATGGAGAATATGCTGTAATTTTTTTGTTTCTCCCTTCCTGGTGATAGTTGACTAATTCTGCTTGATCTTGTTAAGTTTGATTGTTTTTCTTGCAGTTGAAGTTCTTTATCCGTCCTCTACTTATATTTTAACTTTTAACCTATATTGTTTTGTTATTATTGTGTCGCCTATCTTCTTGATGCTATGTTGTACCAAGTTTTTCTGCGTTTAGATAAAATAAAAGTTTCATATAGAGATCATGGCTGTTACATGGAATCATCTATTATTGAACCACGAGCCTAATTTGTAGTGCATTTTATGAAAATCCAACTAGTTGTTAATTTTACTTACCTTTTTCTGTAACTGACTAAAGCGTTAGTGGCTTCTACATAATCTTACAGATTCACACATCAGCAGCTGTTTGGAAGGCCTACTACTTGGTTAATTTTGCTGATTTCTAGATCAGTGCTTCCTTTCAAATAAATGTCATTAAACAATCTCGAAAATGAATCTCATTATTTATTTTCAGCCCTTTGAAGAAGTTCAACTTGAATTGGATCATTCTGCCGCAGCGGCAGCAACAGAAGATGTTGATATTAGTTCAACTGCTTTCATACAGATACCTTCACAACTTTCATTACCAATGCATCATATGCTTATGCATATAGTGTATGCTATGGGAAAACTTATGGTACATAAATCACTTCAGTAAGTTTTGTATATGAAATTTTCACTCATTTTGATGCTGGCATGCACTTACATTATACTAATAAGAATGTAATGTCTGTTGTCCATTGTCATTGGGCGTGTCAGTGCGAACTTTTATGCAGTGGTGCAATCTTGAAGTTGGTAAGTGTGAAAATGTCATGGTTTAGCTTAGTAAATACAGTCAGTGGCGAAATAGGTACCGAATACTCTCTTCACTGTACTTATGCTTTTTTATTTTTCCGGAGAAATTGCCTTTACCTCAAGTAACTCGCTGTGATACATTATTTACCAGACTGTATGACGTTTCGATTACAACTCACATAATCATGAAGTTGTGATGTAATTTATTTTCATCGTAACCATAAGTGCTATTTTTCAGATCACTGTTATTTATCTCAGTAACTTTTTTCATTTCCAGCAACTAGTGAATGAATCGAGAGAGAGAGAGGCTATGAAGCTAGAGAATACTTCCACTTGTTGTTGTTTGTTTTTACCTAGTATTTATACACAAAAGTCTGATTGCTGTACTCTTACCTTTATAGCAAGAAAATGGTTTTATTTGCAAAATGGATTCACAAGTAAAAGTGTCCTTCAAAGTATACACATTATTTAATTACATGTAACTCAGTGTTTCTCATCGCATCTGTTCTTCCAGCTGTAAAGTTTCTTTTTTTACCTACTTCAGACCACCATATCATCATCTGTTTCTATCGAAAATCTGTACAGCATTTATCAAAGTATACTCCACTATTGTTGATGACTTGTTTTCGCATCGTAATATCACTACTGATCAATGCTCAGATGATGTATGCTTATGGTTATCTGATTCTCTACAAAAATTGTTACAAGCACGAGCTTTACAAATAATCTTTGATTTGAAATTCCTCCAGCGTTTATTAGTTTCATCGATATCGGTTAGTGAAATCATTGTTTTTCAAATGATTTGAGCATACTTTTGTTGTTGTTGTTGTTGCATTTATCCTGTTCATTGATTAATGCGTTAAAAAAAGAATTCACTAGTGTATTGCTTCTGTGAGATGTCAGTAATTATTACTTTCTTGAATAAATTCAGATGAACGTTTAACTCATTGTTTTTGGGATTTGATTACCATTATTTTAACTAGTGCGTCCTTCGTTGGAGTCCACCTACTTCAGCTTATCACTCTGTTACATTGAAAGATTTATCCAGGTAACTGAATTCTAGTTGAATAAATTTTAATGGTGTGATGGTCGGGAATGCATATCTCGATAAGAAGACGAGCTACATTGCCTGTAGCAAATGTTTCTGCAGTTTCTATGATACCAGAAATGTTATTTGGGTAGTGGTAAAACTAACAATTGGCACTCTCATAATGTTAATCGATCACATTACTTATCGTGTCTCTCTGCTCTGTGGAATGGTCGGTCCCGAAAATTGCATATCTCGCCTTACTGTGCGGTGGTCTCATAGTCTATGGTAAGATCTTAATACGGTTACAACTCCAAAAACCACTTCAAACTTGTGTGTGTTCGCCTTCAAGTAGTTGTCCTGTAGGTTTCACGGTCATGCAACACCGATACTCCTTCTGTTTCATGTATTTCAAGTAGTCCGGTTAGATCTGTTTAAGAACAGAATTTGGGCGCTATGGTATAGTATAATTCCATCATAAAATAGTTTTATTTAATAAAGAGTGTAATGCAGTATTATTCTCTGATAACGTCTAGGGCACAACTTTTAAGCTTAGTTTATATAATTTCATCATTTCATATCCTTTGATTTATATTATTGGTATTATTTTCTCATTGGACTTATTAGGTGTGGATTCGATGAACATAGATTCAGTAGTCCACCCCTCTCCACATATCTATATTACTTTTTAGAACTGTAGTAATTCTTGCTTAGAAAGTGTGTGGTAGTAATTAATAGGATTATTATTTCCACTTATTTATTATTCTTTTTGCGTTGTTCTTTGCCCGTTTCTCTTACAGAAAAATCAATTGGATACCTCATCTAGACATATCCAATCCACGATACAAGGATTAACATCTCGTTTAGAGACACTTGTTGATCCTTTTGATTGGAATGTATGCGCTTCTCGTTTAAGTCGTAATGTGGCTAATACAATCACATCTACTTATCACCTTTATGCTACAATCATCGGACCGAATTCATTTTCACAAATTGAAACTCTTAGATGTTCTAAATCTACGGTGAAAGAGGAATCAGTTGAAAACAAGGCAACTTTTTCCTTTTTACCGTTTATTTCAGGCACAAAAAGTAAAGTCAAGCTGAATTTAAATCCACTGCCACTTAATTCATCTGTTTGCGTAAATAAATGGTCAGTATTGAGGACTGGAAACATGTATACCAAACAAATTTGAGGGTAAGTTTAATTTGGAGATAACTATGTTTTGTTATTCATGGTACATAAAGTTACTTCAAATCACGATTCATAATCATGTGAAATATTTGTCAATAATCTCTGCCTAATTCTGTAAGCCTTTAATGTTTCTGAAATAGACCAATGAGATGCAATCAAAAATATTTTAAGGTCTCAGGAAATGTGAATTATTCTCAGTTGGATTTTTTTAAATTCAACGTAGTTACACAGATGTCTCAAATTGTAAAAGGACACTACATAAAGAAGTGTTACGACGGATTGATTAGTAAAGGTAAAGAGAAGTAGTTGAATATAAAATACAATGAAAAAGCTTTTGTCTCTCCGATAGTAGAAAATAATATTGAAATCTCTGTTGTAACTGTAGGGGAATTAGATGAAGACGTTGTCGCCTTGTTCTGTCTGCGCCTGACTAATATGCCTATCTGCTTCTGGTACCTTCCGATTCAGCGAACCACGCAAATATCAAAAGACAAAGTCTGGTCTCTGACTTTATATTGTAGTACAATAACTACGACTACGACAAAGAAACTTATTTAGGAAATGGTATTTATACAATTTTACAACCAATAGAGACAGCTAACAGTATTTGAAATAATTGGTCGTAATAGTCAATAACAAAATGCGTGGGAATGATGATATACCACTTATGCGAGATTAACAGTCATTAAGATAATTGAACAATAACAAAGTGTGTGAGAATTGATGATATACCACTTATGCGAGATTAACAGTCGTTAAGATAATTGAACAATAACAAAGTGTGCGGGATCCTATCAATCTCAGACTCACCGTTTTTGGATTTCAAGATTTATTTATCACCTCCTTAAGGTTGCGTTTTCGGGAGTTTCATTCTGAAGGCCACAATACCCTAACAAACACTTACTCAGCGGAACAGTCCTTCATCCCGAATGACTACGACAGACAAATATTGTCAAAATACAATGGAGCGTTGCTGCGTACTTCTTTGCTTTGTTTACGTCCAATATCTACTGTAGTACACTATGAACTAGGTACTTTTCGCCTTCCAATAGGTCTAAAGATAAGTTTTATTTATCACACTCCTCACACCAATAAAGGTGTCAAAAATGAAGAGTACAGTTCAAAATGAATCGCATAACAAAGTATAGGTTCTCTTCAACTCAGTCTTCAAATAATTCTACAGTACTATTACTGGATTTTAAATATTCTGCATACTTATTGTAATTTGAGCGATGGTTTAATATTGTGTACTGTTTTATGGTAGGTTGTGATTATCGAATTTTATTTAGGTGTTCACCAGTTAACATTGTCTACCACTTCGTCAGTATCAAGTAATCTTTGAAAGCACCTTGATAATCCAGCATAGGTTAAAAATGTGACTGTACGGTATTAAAAGCCAAATAGATTCATCGATGTTCGTCTGCCACTGCAATTTGTTGTTTTTATTTCTCTTTTCAGTATATGTCTATATGAAGTATATTAATTCAGATGTCCATAAATTTGATTGTATTATTCATAGCAAATGGTTGGTATTGAAACCTTTGTTAGGTTGATTGCAGTTAGTGGTAAGGTACAGTGAGTGGCGCTTCTCAGTAAAGTGTATCGAAGCATAATCTTTTACCCACCTAATGCTCGATTTAAGTAAATCAAATACCGACTTCAAATGCCTGATTTGCATCTTTCGCCGAATGGTATCAACAAACTCAGCTCAAATAATTCAGGATACTTGACACTTTCTTAATTTGTTTTGTAGAATGACCACTATTTTCTCCTTGTATTTTCAGTTATTTGCAAAGTTCCTGTATGGTCTTATTAATATACGTGTAAAACTTGGGCACTGTGGTAGTAAGTAATTCCATATTAGTTTGTTTATTAGGTATATCACACAGTGAAACAGTATTATTTACTGGATGACGTTTCGAACAAAATTAATTGTTCATAATCATATCAATTGTGATCACACGACTTTGACACTTGAGTTTTATAGTTTTCTTTGTTCTCTCCTATTTGTCGTATGGGTAGTAGAATTTTCCAGATATCGGGGACAGGTGATGAATCATTCCTATTACATGTATTTGTAGTTGATTCGATAAACAAAGCTTCTGTTATCAATCTCTCCCTATACCCTGTGACATTAGATTTTAAAACTGTCATCCTATCCCATCCTATTGTATGGTTGTGTGTAACTGCATGTAGTGCTATAGCTGAACTATTCTCTAGATTTCTTATCTTATTCGGGTCAACCAATCGAGATTTAGCTAGGTTTTTTATGTTCAGCTAGTCTGACTGCCCCTGTTCTACTAGTTTGACCTATGTATTTGACCTGACAATCATTACAGGGTATGAGATAAACTAAATTGTTTTGTTTTAAGGGCTCTACAGGATCCTTTAACCGACAAAGCTTGTTTCTAATCGAGTTTGTGGGTTTGAATGCCATTTTTATTCCTGCCTTGTTAAGAATTCTGCGTAAGGCTTCCGAGGTTCCTTCCTTGTATGGAATTACTACTGATGATTTAGATTTCTTATTATTGGTGTCGTCATTAATATTATTATTATTATCACTATTATTATTAACATTATTACTATTATTATTATTATTATTATCACTATCCAGTAAATAATGATCCAGTAAATAATACTGTTTCACTGTGTGATATATCAAATAAACAAACTAATATGGAATTCCTGTATGGTCACTGTTTTAACGAATTGTGGAGTGTTTCCATCAATAAAAGTTGTTATAACTGGTAGCCTATTATGATGCTCGGTACATTGTATAGGTGAGAAACTTTTCGCATCCGTGTGTACACACAGGCGTAAAACTGCATGAGGAATACGAATAGTTCAACAGCAAGATATGTCAACTATTATCACTTCAAGTTTCTAAGTAAGTATGGATGCAAGGCATAAGTAGTTTGAATTTTCACAAAACATTTAGCTTACAAACAGTAGCCCTCTTATTTAGACCATAGTATGTACTACATGGATATAATACTGTTTGTTCACTGTGGTGTAAAGTTTTACCTGCACATTATAATTGTAATGAGTCAAGATGAAAACGTAGAAACTGATCCAGCTGACGGGCACATAATTGTGTGCTGGTAGGAGCGTAAAATATACTGACTGAATATTTTAATCGTATTCGTAAAAAAGAACATTCCTACGCTTAAATTTCATCCTGCAAACATCAGAACAGTCGCGTAAAACTATCGACCATCTTTATTTTGTGTCAGCTAAAAGTATCACTTTAGTAAGTCGAACTTGCGTTTAAGCATGTTGAGCTCGTATTCTTGAAAATCTAGCCTAAATTTTGTACATCTAGACATGAATATCAATCGCCGCCGAATTGTCCTTGCATCCTTTCATGAAGGAGGGTGAATAGAACTCCAGATGCCTGAAATGCATGTGCTTGTTGCTGATAAAGTGTAATGACTTTCGAGATCACAAAACGCCTGTAATTGTTTTCACTAAAAATTTAAATACTTAGAACTGTTAACGCTTTTTCAAATGTTATTTTAAATAACCAGTCGAAGGTCTTATTTTTCGCTCTTATTCTGTTAGACACATTCATAATGTTATGCCATATACACGAAATTCTTAAGATTATTCGGGAAGTATTTAACCTGTATTGTTTTATTTTTCTTAACAGAGCCATCTCATACCTATAGAAAAGTGTGGACAGTATTAAAAAAGACCCTAGTACTGCTGTGCAGTGATCCAAATTTTTGTGCTTCAATAACTTCACATTAAATGCCCAAGTGCCTATAAATGCCTGTTGATCACAACTTAAAGTACACATTCTCTTAGAATGTGTCTTTTCGGGATACTCACTACCCAGTTTCTCGAAACAATTGCAAATATAAATGTTTCTATTAAAACGTGAAAGCCGATTTTGATATTTATTCTTACATTGTTTTTCAATGTAGTTTGTTCATTTTCTACTAATTTTGCCTTATCTGTGATCGTCTTTCAGTCTGAAGGTTCCATACATACTGTCACTTTATCTTATTTTTTACGGTGATCGGTTATGATATATTCTAATAGTTTGTAGTGGGTGTTTTTAACTTTTAATTTGTTTCAAAAATAAATAAACCACATAACTCATCAAAGCCTTTAATCACTTCATTTATACATTATGCTTGTCAGTAAAAATTTTCTAGTTTTATCTTTTGCCAGGATTAAACTATATATGATAGGACTTCTCAGTAGTTAGCGTTTCCTGTCTTCTACATTCATTTATCATGTAAGTATATTTAGCATAGTAGTAACTGATTCTGATTTACTTCATGCTCTAGACTTCAATATTTTACTCAGGTGTACCATCTGTCTAAGTTATCTTCTACGTAAAATGATGTGTTGGATTCAAAGAGACTGCATTCTTTGATAATACACAGTAATTTTAAGTGTTTTCATCGTCTAGTTGATACAGCTAGCCAAGGATATCTCTAATATTCGATTTGCAATCGAACTATGCTGGCCAAAACATTCTGCTTTGAATAGACTATCCCACCTACCAGATTCATTCGTTCACAACGCAACTTACGTTAAAAAAATTATTTTTATATCAACAAATACAAATATTTATTCCTAACAAACAATAGAAAAAGATACGCAAAGCTTGTTATATAAAGTGAGTGGTTAAACTCTTCCGTCTAAACTGCTGTGTTGAATTTGTGACCAAAGCTTTTTGTGACAGTGTAATGCCATCTTAAAAAAGAAAACGTTGAAAAGATTATTAGTAGTATGTGTGATATATGAGCAACTATTTAGAACAAACGGACACTTAAGTTTGAGTATTTAACTAGGAAACATAGTTCATTTTTTCATTTGCTCCAGATCAAGAAACATATGGAATACAAAATATGTTCCTTAAATCAGCTAATTATTAACAGAGTTTTCGTCATCATTACTTATTCTGTTGTGTTGTAAGTCTATATTTGTATTCTACAAAACGTAACGCCCCTTATATACTATAATACCAGTTTATTTGAGCAATCTTCATCATAATCAGTGTGTTTTGTAGTAGCTAATATCTACGTAAACATGCAGTGGTCTGTACATTTGTTAAAAAAGGACCGTTTTTGATACTTTTTGGTATTCTCCGAAATACAGAGATAATTGACAGTAAAAATAATTTGTAGACCTCGTTCTCTAGTGATTACATATAGGTTCTAAAAACAAATGAAGAATGGGGTCTCAGCAATTATGTCAGTCTGAAATTCTTTCAGCAAACTTTACGTTATTGTTTCTTCATAGTATAAGGTTTACAGTATTGTCTATTTTATTGAATGAAAAATGTAGCTTACTTCTGCAATTTTTAGGCGTCTGTTGTATATATTTTGTTTGCTTGTCAAATCTCGTTCTTCGCTCACAAGCTTGACAAAATCTATCACAGATGGTACACGATACGATGATATATGGTCTTCGTATTTTTCGTTAAGAGTTCTTTCTGTTTTGAGTTCCTTCACACAAAATAGAGGAGAATATTTTTATTATGCACACATATGCGCTGAAATATTTACTACTAATGACAAACCAAATTAGGAATACGCGAAAGTACGTCGGTTCAAACAAATACATTCCCTAGAAGCTCACGTAATATAAGAAAGGAAATATAGTTGCCACACGATGAGTGCGATAGATAGAACGAGTAAATATAGCTTTTTAGAAGCTGAAATATGATAAGTATCACTGTTAACAATAACGAACCATCTCATCAAGAGTTTTCAAAGTAGTTGTTTCTAGCGTCCTATGGACCTCAGCCATGCTGTACGCATCACAAGATTGAGAAAGCGGTCACAAACGTCATGCACTGATGTCATGTTTTTATCTTATAGCTCTTTTCCAAGATGATCGTACTAAATTCAACTGCACTCGTTTTCAAATTACTATAGACTCCATGCATCATAGATGCTATATTATTCAGGCTATTCGATCTTTGGTTGTTACGGAAAGATTTATTGCCTTTCTTATGGAAATATCAATAACTATGTAGACCAGCTTATGGGACCATCCGTACACCAAACATTCCTTTTTGGTTTAACAACCAAGTGCTGTTGATTTGCTGAGCTTAGACATAGCATTCACAACCGACTTCTGCATCCAAACGAAGCCGCAGTTGGGTGTTAGGCAGATGGAAATTAGTTCAGCTCCTTGTGGAAATTTTCTGCTGAACGACCAATCATCCCATTTAAGGATTTTCCATTGTTTAATCTTACTTGAAGATCATAAAAATCCTCCGGTTGCTAGTTATCTACTGCTTTCTTCACTGTCTCTATATCAAACAGGATATTATGATGACCTCCTCAAGAATGACTGTTACTATAGTACTTAGGTAACTATTCCTTAAATAGCAACCTGATGTTTTCATCAAAGTGGTGGACGCAGAGATGTTTCGCTGCTGCTTGTTTTTTGCATCTCTTCAGTCACAAGAACATGATATTCATCAACGCTGATTCATTAGAAGGAGAGGTAATCGAGTACTGTTAGCCACATAGTATCTCTCTGTTCATTATCTGAACATATATGATTCCCACGCGAAACAGTGCATTTACGAGATGATAATAGATTGCTATCAGTTAGAGAACCATTAAAATCCAGGGAGTACTGGACAGCTGTTTTATCCTAGTTTGGAAATCATCGGCAGTACGCACCTACCAACAGGGTTCGAACCCAAGATCATCCGGTTACAAGGCAAGCTCGTATACCATTCAGCCACTGGGATCCGATTCAATGGTCTATGAATTCTAACTTCTACCAGTTCGTGATTATGCGCGACCACCAACCAATGTCATCGATACGACATCCATCCTTATGCTTGACTGGATGGACCTCACTGGTCACGACTTCTCACTAGAACTCCAGGAAACTCCGTCCTGTAGCAAGTCACTAGCGACCATCAGATTACTTTCCAATGGTCGGTTTGTGAGGATAGAATTCATGGGCCATTGAATCAGGTCCCAGTGGCTAAGTGGTATACGAGCTTGCCTTGTAACCGGAAGGTTCTGGGTGCGTACTGCTGATGATTCCCTATCTAGGATGAAACAGCTGTCCAGTACTCCCTGGATTTTAATGATTCTCTAACTGACACCAATCCGTGGTCAAACTCGTAAGAAAATCTGATCTTTCCAAACCAACCATTGAAATAGTGCGTCATTGTTTCTGAAATTAGTGCCGGTCAAGAAAATATGATTATCTATGTAGTTAGTTCAAGTAAGTGAGAAGAAATGCCTAATGACTGCAAAATCACCATATATATATATATATATATATATATATATATATATATTCCAAATGATGAAAAATTAATTACTACCTGCTTTGCTAATATATTCTCAGTTTCGATACGTCTATGCATTTCTTGGCGTTGGTTTTGTTCTTCCATAAGATATTTTTGTTCGTGTAATGCTTCATTTAGTTTTTTCTAGATTCAATAATCAGTTATGTATGATAAACCCACCCTTTGTCCATTTAATATCTGAAGAGTCCTAGCAGCGACTATTTTCATTTTTTGTATGATACGATTTTTTTCGTCTATCTCTGCAAGACATTTCGTATTATCTATTTTCATTTGTTCAAAGTCAATTGCACTGAGAACTTCTCCAGTCTCTTTCTGCCTCAACTGTTCTTTTGTTTTTTTCAAGGTGGTCTTCAATGAACTGTTTTTTAGACGAAGCTTGTCAGATAGGGTATCCTTAAATGTGTTAATTATGATAAATCATGATTTATTAGAATTTGTGACGAAAATAGAAAATGCCTTCAACTTAGTGAATTAGTCGAAATATTCGTGAAAAACTAATTATTATTAGTTACTTTTAATTATACAGTACTAATGGATGTCCATAAGCCGATATTTGTGACTGTCATCATCGCCTATTTGCGGGCGCGAAACAAATAAATTTCTATATATTCTTTTCAGTGATATCATTTTCTAGCCGTAAATTTTCTTAATGACAAAAGGAATATTTCCATAGATATGTCTTTAGAATTATAAAGTTTAGATAAAATATTACGGAATCTAAAAACGCGTCAATCGAGTAGAAACTAAAGTAAAATTAAATAAGTGTGACGTAATGCAACTGACTGGATTAAGCAGAATTCAACTAAAATTGAGTGAAAGTCAACTTAACAACAGTGGTAATAAGGGGCAGACATTTCATAGGGAATGAGGGGGGGGGGAATAATACAATTACAAACTAAGAGACAAAATTTACTCGTCCAGTGTTAAGACAGATTATGTCCACCGTAGGCTCAGTGACTGAACAAACTTCTTTCGTATGCAGATTTAGGGACCTAACATGTGAATTGCTTTTGTGGTTTGAAGAAGTTTGATTCGTATTCTCAGCAAGATTCCCACGTATGCTGTAGATGACTTTGAAGTTGGTTTGTGGGTTAACTTGGTGTCCAGATTCGATCGTATGATCCAGGATACAGCTGCGGGGTCACATTGATTTCTCTTCTGAACTCCTATGAAAGAGTCTGGCTGCAGAATACAATATGTGTTGAAATTATATACCAGTGAGTTTGCAATTCCTATAATAGGGAGTGAGTTCGCCTATATTATTGTGAATGAACTTGAGTCATCTCATCAAGAATTTCCAATCAGTAACTTATAGTGCCTCAATGACCCCACGCCAGTAATCTACACAGTGTCCCTTGAAGCAGCATTCATGAACTTGATACCATTTCACGGTTTGACCACTCCTAACTTTCCCCCAATTAAATCTTACTTCCCTTAACAATACTCTTTGGGAAATGAGGCGTTTTATCATTGCCAACTGACGTCACATTTGTCATTTCTTAAGGATCCACAACGTTATCAATTGACTTACAATCCCATTTTGACACTCCATATGAAATCTCATGTTGTCTCATTGAATGTAAGCACCCATGGTCTAAAACTTAGGAATCCTTCATGTCCTTTCACTTAAATGGTTATGTTTCATAGCCATAACGTAGGATAAGTATATTTACATCAAGTCATTGCCGAAGATAGAACAATGCGTTATGTGTCAAATGGGATTATTTCATCTGTTCTGAGATTACATTGAAAGTCCGGTCTGTATGAGCGATAATATTTCTAAAATAATTTAATTATTTCACTAACTTTCCTTAGATTCGAGTTAGTGAAGACTTCTGGTGTTGTGCCATCTTACATCTCATAGAAGTACATATGTTTAATTCGAACTTTCACGACCCCTACATTCCAACTACATTACCCATATACATTGAGTCAAAGAGGTCATGTCCTATTATTAAGTTAAGCACTGTGCTAAATATTTTGTAGCAGAAACTTTCTTCCAAAAATATTTCGAACTTGATAGGCAGCACTAACCTACTATTCTGAAAGAAACGATATCGTCTTCAGATAGTCAGGCTTATTTGAAACTGAGAATGCAAGTGTTCATTGAGTGGCTCATTCCTGAAAGTCTGTGCACCTCTTCCATTTCAAGTTATTCCGATGTGCTTCCAGTTAACTTTCCTGCCTTATCATTGCAGTTAACTTATAATATAAAATAATCGCCGTGGGTTGTTCAATCAGTTTTATATTGACATTTCATAAATTCTTTAACATTAACGCTACAACGTACTAAAATTCTCAGGCTTCTATGAGCTGTTGGTTGTAGGAGCGAAAAAACTAGCTTGGAACTAGGATGTATTAAATGGTAGTGAATCATAACTGAATTCGATTTTTCCTGAAAGTTCATACCTTACTAAGTGCTGCTTTGACGTCACAGTCGAAAAAGCTTAAATCAAATTCAATTAAGAAATTCTCGGTTAATTTTCTAGTTTTTCTGTAATAATTCCCTATTTGTGTCGGTCGGGGATTGCGAAGCACATTGTAGCTATGTCAAAACTACAGAAATTGATTTCCCTAATTTGGAAGTGAAAAAGTTTCCGAAATTAGTAACGGAATAGCTTGGCTGTGTGTATTCAAGATAGCCTTCTTTGAACATCTTTTAGGTAAAATCTTCCATGGTTTTTTTAATTGCAGTCCCGTACCATCGAAAATAAATTTAACGTTGAAACAGCCATTTCATTGGTCTGCATTATGAGTAATTTTGAAGATACTTCGGGTGAACACATCGATTTTTCAAATTTAATTTTACTATGAAAATGTATTCCAACTTAACACAATACTTTTTGGCTTGAGCACAATGCGTTTATATTTTTACAGTACTAAACTAATACAGAAAATAAGTGAGAAACAGTTCCATCTTGCTGCACCATTTATCTGATGTAAGAAAGAAAAAAGAAACTAACTGGTCAAATCTACAAAATCTGTCAAACGTTTTCTAAGATTTAAGGCCTTGCATATATGCATATAAATAAATCACTCTTAGTTGTCATTTGGTGCAAATCAATGCACTTACAGTGAAAAATGACGGAAATAAGTAAAAAGGTATAGACTACTGTTCCCTCAAAACTCGAACAGTTTGTTCTTAATATGTCTTTCAGTTTCTACAAAAGGCATGAATTTAACATTTTCATCATATTTTATTTATTTTAATCTTTACCATTCACAGTGGAACATAGGACTTAAGCTTTAAATCTGCAGTAGCAGTGATATCATTTTGACGAGGTGTTGTCGATAGCCTCAGGCCGAACCCTCCCCCTTTATGTGACTTACCACCGACTTAGCGAAGGTTAGCATTGCGCCTGCCGAGACTTGAACCCCAGACTACATACGTAGTTGGCGAGCACTTTACAGCTGAACCACCGACTTAAACAGTAACCAATTAATTCTGATATTGTTACAAGTACTTCCAAGTGCAGTCATATTCAATCCGATTATATGTAGCTAAGTGACGTGATGGAAAACTTACATTCACATGACTGCCCATTCATAGCATATCAATTTCCCAAAGTGTGTTGTACCCATCAATAAAGACATAATAAAGTCAAATAACAGCACCACAATAATCACATCATATGGCGGTGATCTAGGAAAAATTACAGGGTTTTGCCAGCTCAGATAGCCTAATTAGAATATTTTCGCAAGTGGCTTATTCACAACAATTACCAACTGAGAAATAAACCGCAGTCGCAACCCCCTAAAATGAGTACACTTCCATCCAGAGAAGGTGGTGATATATATATATAGGTTCCTTCGATTGATAGCTGCTTCCTTGACGTGGTGCTTGCGCTTGTACATCCTAATGACCCAACATGCCACACTGGCTGCAACTAATGTTCCTGCAGGTCCCACAATGCCAGGAAGATTGTTAGGATAGCAATTAGACTAAAGGCAGTTACCGGCATAGTGTAAGAATTACTTTACACTATGCTGGGGGTCTGTGGGCGAAGTCGTACTGCTGGGGAACAGGGATGTAACAGCAGTGAGGTGTTTCCCTCAGATGACCAGCATGCCAGCCAGCTATGCTGTCTCTCCACTCTGGAGAGAGGGGATTAGAAAAGGTCGACCCCGAAAATTGTAGATCCCGACTTACCGCACGGTGCTATGTAGCCGGCAGTAAGTTTATTAATATGGAACCAATCCAAGAAACCAGTTCATACAGGCCGTGTGTAAACGGCCTCAACCAGTTGTCCCCTGCACTCTGCGTTCACGTAACACTAACCCTCTTTCTATTTCAGCTATCCCAAGAAAAAATCAACTTCCACTGAGTGGGCAGCCGGGAAGTAACAACCCCCCACACACTTCCGAAAGCATACGAAGCCCTCCTGTTCACCAACTTCCAATATCCCTGTCACCCTCAAAATCTTGCTTCCCTACTACAGTCAGTACTATTCTGTAGGCTGGTCAGTAATCTTCATTTCATTCTTTGACCACAAATAACGATGAGTATCAGAAAAGCATCCCCGAGAGCCTATTAAAGCCACGTTACCAACTTCATATAGGAGCTTTCAACGTCAGGACTCTCTGCCAAATCGGACAACAGGCATCACTAGCAAGAACTCTGGCATCTCGAGCGATGGGCGTAAGTTGTGTTTCGGACACATGCATACAAGACCCGAGTGCGGTAATTCACTTAACTCCCCCCCCCAGCCAAAAAGGTGAATCCGCAAAGTTAACCTTAAGGGTGTCAGGAGACCCCTCAGCTACTTCAAGAGGACTCGCAGGTGTAGAGATAGCATTCAGTGTTAGAGCATAAAAATCACTTTTTGACTGGATCCCAGTAAATAGTCGTATGTGTGTGGCCCGTTAGAAGAAGGAAGGACGGCGTTACCCATCGTTGTCTTTTCATAATCTCCTCTTACGCCCCAACAGACTGCAGTTAGGATAAGCTAAAGGATGACTTCTACAAGAAACTGTCTAAATCGCTGCATAAAGCAAAACGTTCAGATAAAGTTGGTTTAGCAGGCGACTTCAATGCCCAAGTAGGGAAATTCTGCCAGACTGAGAAGTATGTAGGTGGTATATATGAAGTTCCCTGCCAGTGATCGTATTCTACAGTTCTGTTCAAATAATTATCTGCTCTTAGTCATCACTAACTTGAAGCACAAGGAGAGACACTGAGTAACCCGGGGACTTCCATCACCAAATCAACACTGGACTCAAACAGGCCGCATAGCGATAGGGTATCGTTGGCGAGGGTCAGTAGAAGATTGCCGCTCCTTCTGGAAAACGTGCATAGAGTCCGGTCACGCCCTGGTTCGCGCATATTCGTGCTTACGATTAAACGGACATAAAAAGCTGTTGTCAGGGAAGCAGTTACGTCCCCAACTAGATTGAGACTCTCAGTCCCTATTTAAGGAGAAAATAGTGAAACGAGTATCTCAAGTCGACAGCAGGACTCCCTCCGAAGAAGCCTGGCACAACATACAGCTAGCTGTTGACAGCTCTAAAAGCTGGTAATAACATGAGACCCAAAGTTAATAAGAGCCACTGGATTTCTACCACCTAGTCCGGAATGATTGTCTCAAGAAAACTGATTCCGGCGAGCTCCATTTATGATGAGGAGCGAAAGCTGCTCAAACGCAAACTAACAAGAAGACTTTGAAAGGACCATGAACAGTGGTGGGAGACAAAAGCGAAAGAGGTGGGAAAGGCATCGGTGATTGGTATTACCAGATAACTATTTTGGTTTATCAGGGAAACAGGTGGCAGGCTGAAAATGATGAGTAAAACAATCTCAGAGAAAAATGACCCCATAATTAGCTCTCAGGATAGGCGACTAGAACGTTAGAAAGAAGACATTGAGGAGTAATTTAATTGGCCTACAGCCACGCCCAACCTACCGAACATCCAACACTTCTCTGAATGGGATATAGACACAGGTCCACCGTCCCTAACTGAGGTCACTAATCTGAAACGATGCAAAGCTATGGGACCTGATCGAATGACTTTAGAGGTGTTTAAGGATGTCGGAGACAGTTTACTGTATGCGTTAACTATGGTATTAGGCAGTGCCTGGAAATCAGAGGAAATCTTGTTGGGTTGGTGTAAGTCACTAATTATTTATTCATTCAACTACAAGAAGGGAGACAAGCCTTCGTGTGATAATCAGAGGGGGATTTGCTTGACCAACATAGTATCTGAATGCCTAGACTCAATAATAATGCGTGGGCTAAGTGGTGCTTGGAAGGCACAAACACGAGAGAACCAGGCAGGCTTTAGACCAGGAAGAGGGTGTATTGATCATATCTTCACGCTTTGACAGATCCTAGAACATAGGCATACTTACCGGCGTCCAAAAGTCGTCATATTTCTTTACTCCGTCGAACGTGGTGAACTATGGCGATGTTTGTCTGTAAAGGGAATGTCGAGAAAATACATTGCACTGATCAAAGTAATCTACTCGAACTCATGCAGTCAGCCGGGTGAGAGCTTACGGAGAGATGTCACTTGAAGTGGTGTCCATCAGGGATGCCCTTTGTCCGCAAATCTATTCACTTTCATCATAGATGTACTACTTTAATAAAGGTCCTTGCATTTCCCAATGAATGAAAAACACAACGAAATTGTTTTTACTGACATTCCGCCATTTAATGCTGATAGCTTTATCAAAGTATTATTAAACCGGAATTTACAAAATTTCGGCATACATATAACAAAGAGTTAAGAGGTGAGAAAATAGACTTCGGTCAAGTTAAAAGGACATATTGAAAGTCAAAATAACAAAGGTAGTAGTGGGGGAGGAAGGTGTTGTAACCCATGAAGTGTCAAAATCAACACGAATGTGATATGCAAGTTCAAGATGCAAAGACACTTTGAAATTGATTATTTCCACACTGATCAAATCCAACAATCCACACTTGATTTTGTTATCTTTACCAATTGACCAACTTGACAACGAAAAATGACCCCAGAATGACGAACGATGATCAAGTTAGCAAACTTTGTTTTGATATCATAACAGACGTACTATAACCTTTGTTATTTGGTTTAGTTATCTTCATTGTTATTTTGACTTTCAATATGTCCTTTTAACTTGACCTAAGTCTATTTTCTCACCTCTTAACTCTTTGTTATATATGTACTGAGATTTTGTAAATTCTGGTTTAATAATACTTTGATAAAGCTATTAGCATTAAATAGCGAAACGTCAGTGAAGACAATTTCGTTTTGTTTTTCATTCATTGGGAAATACAAAACCTTTCTTATAATGAATATCATATACCCGATGCCCAAATTTTTCAAACCGTTATAAGGTAACTCGGTTTGGACTCTCGACGACCATGCACATGGTCCGGGGTTCGATCCCCTGCCGGCGCACACCCGATATCTATAGTCGGCCTGAAATTTGGGCTACCGATATCCACGCTGAAAATTCCATACTTGTACTGAAAATACGGTGTGGAATCAAGCTGTAATCAAAAAAAAAAGATGTACTACTAGTTGACTTAACCCTTACTGACTTCAGACACTCAACGATAGACTTGTTATCAGGGAATAATCTCGTTGACTTAGAATATGCAGATAATGTAGTCCTTCTAGGTGAAGACGCTGACAAAATGCAGAGTCTTCTGAACACCTTGAGCAATAATCTGCATATGTTTGGCATACGGTTCGCTCCCTTCAAATGCGAGATGATGCTATGGGATTGGACTGAATTACATTGACTCCCAGCTTATAAATATGTAGTGAAGTTGTAGTTGCATTATTCCCAATGGGTCGATGACTGACGAAATCTCTGCATGGATACAGAAGGCCCGTTTAGTAAATGCCAACTTACTCCATATCCAGCGGTGACGTGACAGCTGGTCGTCGAAACAAGGGTGTGTGTACTGCTCAGCAGTCCTCTCCATCCTCCTTTATGGCTGTGAGCGAGACATGGCTATTGAGAGTGGAAGACAGGAAGAGGCCGGCTAGCTGTCTTAGATCATAGGTATCTGGGTTCTATCTCCCGTGTGAAGTGGTATAATAAAATGAGCAATATTGAGGTTAGGCTTTGGTGGAGTGCCAGGTGAGGAGGGAAAATCAATGGAAGAGGCTGTGAAGCTACATCGAATGAGTTGGTTAGGACATGTGTTACCCATACCTAGCCATCATATACCGCCTTCCTCGACAATGGGCAATTTCAGCTGACTGGAGACAATTGGCGATATGGCTCAAAATCTTTCTCAATTGAACAGATTTATCCACTCCTTGTTATTTATAATATCCAACGAAACTCTATTGCTCAAAGATATTAATATTCTTTTCGCCCCATATCTCTGTTTGCTGTCTCGATTTCGCATTTCTTTTTGCTACCTTCCCTTGCTTTGTGTGCTACATGGTGTAGCGACTCGAACTGCTGCACATAGGTGCAAAGATCTATTTTAAAACAAGTCAGTCAGTTCTGCAAGTCATCAGTATGCAGTTTATCATAATGCAAAATGACGTGATTTTAGAACTCATTCAATAATATTAAACATTGGTGAGGTAAATGATGAAGGTATATAAACCTTAAGGTTGGCTACAACCCAGTCGACATGTCACACAATATATTTTTTGAATTTACTTGCCATTGATTTGCAATATTCATCCGAAATTCTTAGGTATCTTTCTGAAGAAATCACTTTTGCTCCCACAGAGGCTAACTCTTTGCTAATGAGTTTGCCAAAAAAGCTGTGGTTTTTATGGATTTCTCTGTGACGCGATTTCAGCTCCTCAGATAAAGCCTAAATAATTTCGACTCAAGAAATATTTATTTGTATACTTTATGAGTGTCCAGCTTCTCATCAAAATCAGCTTTGAGTCGCTCAACATGATTTCTCAACTCTTCGTATTGTGTTTGCAATATCAAACATTTCTGTTCGAAGGATAGAGTAACGAATCTATCAACTGCGGAACTCCTGCTTTTCGAACGCTTCCTAACTAAAGATGCCCTCCTGCTGACAGATGGCAGTGATTTCCTAATTTAATTTACTGATAAAGTTTCACCAAATATCGATAACAAACTCAATTTCCATATCCAGTTTTGACATAAAATTCTTATAACATTCATTTTCCAAGACTTCTTTAGAGGTACTAGACCTTATCTACAATAAACACTAAAAGCCACATGTTTACTTTATTTCTTCAACAGCTTTCTCTAACTCTTCAAGTGATAAATTTCCCAACTCATTCTGAGCATCCTTGACTGTGCTTAACATCAGTGAGACTGTGGCAACGACCTTGAACTTGTTTAAAACAAGTTCGACTGATAATAATGAGAATAGTGTCAATTTGTTTGTTTACTTATGCAAATCCCCGTTTTCTGCAGAATTCTAAAGTTATAAATTTCAGTGTTTTAATGCAACCAGCAACCTTGAATATGACGCCTCTTTAGAAGACTAGTTCCACCACAGTACAGCAATTATATCGAGTGGCTTTGTTGCATATTTCCACTCATTATGGTGTTCTCCGTGGTTGTGATGGTTTAATGACGACTTATATTATTAAATGCTTTCTAAGTGTGGTATCGCATAAGAAAATTTTCGCGATGGATTTAATATCAGTGGCTTAATGTACTTCAACAGTGTCACATTTGCTGCAATTGTGTCACTCGATACTGATATCTGCACAATGTAACAGATTGTAAGAGATATTAAGTTACAAATTTAAACGCTGATGTCTGCATTCTCACGAAATCATGCCAGTGTTATTGACATATTTACTGAAATTAGAACCCCTATTTTTAAGTAAAGTGAAGTGCAACTTATTTCTACTCTTCAAAGTCATTGGGAAACATTGTTACAGTAACCCATTCATAACGTGGGCAAATAATGAATCGTATTGTGGTAGTGTGATACAGACAGTTTGTGCCAACGGAATATTTTTCTCACATAATCCCACAGTTCAATTTGGCATTAGCAACACAATACTATGTGTATTTGAACATTCCGTTTCGTGTCGTTTGATGAAAACCGAAGTCACACGCTCAATGATTGGTTAACGAATATAACTTATATATGCAAACAGCGGTTTGATCAATGAAAAATATACCTTGGCTTCCGTGTCTTGCCTTCTGTTGCTACAATACGAACTGCGAAACCACGACTACCTTCTAAAGGTGGCTGCCTACAGAAAAACAATTAGGGCAGATCTATTCACCATTATAAATTATACTCTTTGGAACCAACTACCATCTATAATGATATGTGAAAATCTCGATGGCTTCAAACGGAACCTAGAAAGAGATATTAGCATGTCCAATCCAGGTCGTCCAATAAAAATCAGTTGTTCGCAGAATAATAAATGAAAGACAGCCAAAGATTCAGTGTTGTCAATTAAGTATAATAATAATAATAATGTATTTCATATAAATTTACAAATTTACATGAAAATGCATGCCATTTTTACAGGCACGATCAAGTATGATATAATATCAAATCGTAGATTGTCTACAAGTTAATCGTATTTCAACTGTTAAATATTCGATACATATAATACACTCATTTTCTGAATTAGGCCGTATAGTTATTGAATTGTACAGTTGTCCTCCAGGTTGAGCGGGAAAATCGACTTCGTTCCGTTTTCATCCTGTGGTTGTAGGCATACGATAACCAACCGATATTGAGGTAAGTACACCTTTTACAAAGGATTGGAATCTGTTTTAGAAAAATTAAAGTGCTGAGGTGAATCATTAAATTGTAATGAGATAGGTAAGTGCAAGTATCATTAATAAATGCATTAATAAAGGAAACGCCCTAGGGTAACAACATTCATTTGCAATGTATAATGCTACAGATATATCACAAACTATCACGATATCCACTTTTGGTTTTAATACAATTATCCTCATGCCAGTTGTTTTTATTTTATACCTTTTTGTGCATTTAGTGCACAACCGTACCCTTCAGAGAGTAGGAGTATAATAAGTAATGAAGAGCTATAAGATGTTAAGTTTAATGGAGTAAAATGAGGATCAAGTAAAGACGTTGTCAGAAAATAAATGAGATAAGACATTGTGGAGTGGTATGAAAAGATCTGACGATAGACAGCAAGTTAATTTATAAGATGCCCCATAAATCTGAGCAGATCCCACATGGTTGCATCTCAACAATAGGCTGGGTGAATGGTACATATTTAAAGGTAGAAGCATGATCTGTCAAGGCGTTCATTGTTATCTTTTTCAAGATAAAGATTTAAGCCCTCATAAAAACCAGAAATATCTCGAGCCTTCAAATTTTTTAATGCTGTTCCTGCAGAATGGGGCGATTCACCTTAGTGTCCACCACCATATCTACTGATCAGCTAACTCCACCCTCCCACCTTTTTTGATGTTAGGCTCTGAGACTATGATTATTATGGTTACCGCAAATATATTGCTTGGTACCAGACATGTTCGTACCCCATATTCCATCTCCCTAGCTTTCTTAATGAGTGCTTCCAATAGGTCCCCGCGTACATCTTTATGAACATATTATATATGTATGCATGCGTCCTAATGAACAGATTACTTTATAAGAAGACAAAAACCTTGAAGAATAACAAGAATAGGTTTTGTGAATAGTGGAGCAAGATTCAGCAGAACAATATAGTTAGGGTTCAATATAGGTAGTATGAACTGAAGGTAAGGTCGGTTGGCAGGACCAAGTGTACTAAATTATCATGACAGTTTTATATATAGTAAACATTTGACATTGCAAAGTAACCTGTCTACATATATTATAAAAAGATATTAGCAGAACCAACAAAATTTCAGCATTTGGTTAACAATACTACAGAAAGTTAGTGAGTCTTACAGGTAGCCGTAAAGTAAATCAATCTATATACAATAAGAGTGTAATCATAGTTATAATTCGTATTATCAAAGAATACATTAGGCTCAAAAACTGAATGTTATAAGGGAAATAAGAGTGATAAACTAAGAGAACATTTGCTGCGTAAGTAATCATTTTAAGTATTTTAATGATAATCTAATTTCAAGTATTGAACATGCATAATTACTAAGTATTATTAGGTTAGTCTAGGAACTAGTGTACTGTCTGTAGTTAAATATTGAAATGTCATGGTTTCACCACTCTACCAGCAGTTGAGATCATTTAGAAGGGCTAGGGTGGACATATTAATATGTTTTTCTAGGCTCCTTTTGAAACTGTCAGGCCTTTCACAGGATCTAATCTCAGAGGGTAGTTGGTTCCAAAGTTTGCAATATTTAATGGTGAAGAAGTTAGCTCTAGTGGTGAGCTTATGGGTGTTAACCTTGAGAAGGCAGTTATGGTTGCGTAGTCCATACGATTTAGGATTAGCCCAGGTTATAGACGAGTTACTGTTACAGTGCTTTCTTATAACTTTGAATAAGAGAAATAAATTGCACTTCACTCTCCTTAACCATAAGGGTTCTAAGTCCAGTCGAATACATCTGTCAAGGTATTCTATTTGCTGATCATAACCTAATATGCGTTTCGTGAGGAATCTTTGGACACTTTCAACTTTTCTTCTGTCTGCTGATTTAAAGCTACTGTATAAGTGGGCACAGTATTCAAGTTTGGGGCGAATGCATATCTTATATATGGCTAATCTGGCTTCTGGGGTGTAAAAGTTACGTAGCACAAAGCCTGTTAGACGTTTACAATCAGATACCACCTTATTTGCATGTTCAGTAAAGGTGAGATCTGAGTATGTTACCCCGAGATCTGTGACTGTGTTCGTGTTTGAGACAAGGTCACCGTACATGTATAGACACATGCTAGGTTTCCAACGTCCGAAGTATGTTATCCCAGATTTAGCTGGATTGAACATTAACTGCCACTTTTCACTCCAATTACATAGACTATTTAGGTCTTCTTGGATTTTACTAACAATATTCATATCATTATAGTCGAAATCATAGACAACTTTGAGGTCGTCTGCAAAGAGGTATGGCTTGCCATACTTGATCATAGAAACAATATCATTTATGAATACAATGAATAGGGTAGGGCCAAGAACATTACCTTGTATTACGCCGCTGGTTATCGGTTTGGATGTTGATAAGTGATGGTTGACTTTAACTAACTGTTCTCTTCCTGTATAACTCGACTCTCCTGCGTAATCAGCGAAAGTTTAACTAATTTGCTGATAATATAATCTTCAAAAATTTGGACAGTGTGGGTTGTTGTGCCAAAAAATTTATTAGCAACCAAACCATTCCATACTTAGCATATTTGTCATGAAAAATATACTGCTGTATTTGTCGTGCACTGAGTACATGCACAGAAAAGCAACTCAAATGTAACCTCATGAAATGTATAACAATTCTCTCTGAAATATCACTTATATGCCTCAAGACAATCCTTTTATCTAAGTACTATCATGCTGTATTTTATCTTAACTACCGAGGCCTTTCATTGAAGCTAAAATTTACTCACTGTTCATATTCGTTGCTCACTTAAAGTTTGCTGGAATTGATGAATATAAGCACAAAAACGCCAATGTTTTAACCATACTTTATTTTCATAGAAAACGTCATACTCTCCATGGCAAGACCATCATGTTTAGCACCATACATTGCACATATGTACTACCGTTCCAAGAACTCTCTACCTCCTTCTCGTGTATAGATTATAAATGTACTTCCAATGACGTACTATCCATAATTGTATTTGATACCATTTTTCAGTTTCCTAGGACGTTCACCCCTTCCTGAAATAGCCTTCAATCAGTTGAGGGCATAGCACTCATCTAAATATGGACAATCCGCTGGTTGGCAATAACTATTTTAGAGGCGGACGGCTTAAAGTCAACAACCCCACATCACACTGAGGTTGTGAGAGTCACTGGCAGCTGTCTATATAGCAAAAAGTAGGCGAACTAAGAAATCCTCAGTCACGCATACACCATAAAATAACCATTCTCATTGAAACCTGGCTAACCCCCATTATGGCCGACAACGAAATCAGTATTGGTTATGGTCAAGAGAGGCAGGGGTAATAAGGAAGGAGGGGAGTTGCCATGTACTTTGACAGGTGCACAGAGTCACGACGAACAAGTACACGTCAAGACGATTTCAAACATGGCCGGACTGTGGTCTAAGGGAAACAGGTTTAGCTGAAAGCATTGCATCTGTGAGCCTGCCGAAGTGTGGGGCGTGATCTTCCCCCGGTGGGAAGCTTGAGGAAGAAACAAACTCACCTGGCAGTCGTAGCGTTGTCCCAATACTAGCTCGGCGGTAGTACTGTGGTGAGAGCTGTCTACTAGCCAAATTGGTAGACAGTAATTTACGTCAATA